GCATCTCTTAGGCTCGTTTACCAAGCACAGGAGGTACAGTACACTCCTTAGCAGATCCTCACAGAACTATAGACCTGATAAGTGACAGTGCTAAAATTCTGTCCCATGGAGGCCTGTACAAAATAGGCTCTTCTTATGTTCTGTGGTTGTACCTCAGCTTCCAAAGAACCATAAGTAAGAGGGCTGCGTCTCCAAGCTTTTAGGGTAACTCTCATAATGCATAGCTTTATCTTGACAGGAGATGGCAGTGTGTCAGGAATACTCCACCTTGGTCATAATAGTGCAGGGATGAAAGGACTACCTAATGCAAGGGGAATTGTGATGAAGAGAATTAATGTGACAGAGCTGAGGCCGCAGCTGGAAACCGTGCAGGTCTGCCCAGGCTCGTGGATGTGTGTGCTGGGGGAAATTGGTGCTCTCAGCACCTGGGCTGGTTAGAAGACAGCTAGATATGCAAGTGCCAACTGCACCTCTGACTGCAGTGCTGATACAGTCTGGGTTTTAAAAAAGGCTGTTTGTCTCATACTCTCCCTTCAACCTCCTGTCATGCTTTCCTAAGCTGCATTCTCCTCTTGCTTTGCTTTCAGGAAAAAGCCCTGTCTCACTTAGAAAAAATTATCTCATATAGAGCCAAACTCACATCTTCCTGGTTTCTCAGACGTGGAACTGTTGTTCGATAGCACCCGGGCTCTGATTCCTTGCTGTCTGTGGCAGTCATCTACTTTGTATCTCTGAGATTTTGTTGTTTATCTGTTCCTCTTTTTTTTTTTTCCTCCGATTCTCATTATTCTCAAAGTGGAATGTAATAAGAGCGGGACAGCTCTCTCCATTCTTCCTGACCATTTTAATGGGTCTGTGATTTCATCTGATAGCTGTTAGCACTTGAGTTTCTCTCCTGCCTTTCACCTGCATGTTGCACAAATGCAAACCTGTGTGCAGTGAATGTGCATATTGTTCTGCGCATACAAAGGTGCTTCATAGTGATGAATATGAAAAATATTGTCCACATAAATAGTCCCTGGACATCTATGAAAAGTTCTTTTCTGCTGTGATTATGATTAAAACACAACATATTAGGAATGTTCTACTGTAAGTATGTCGTATGAACCTCCCGTTCTCTCTACTGTTAAGGGTTTCTCTTGGAAAAAGCATGTTGCTTTCTTTTCCCCACACTCGTGGGAAAACATCGTCATTGTGTAACGTTTGCTGGGATCTGCCTTCCATAGGTGGACAAGGCCACCGTTCAGCTTTGATCAGTCCTTCATTGCATGGTAAAATACTCATATGCGAAAGAGGAAAGTAAAATAAATTTGCAGACTGGTTTTTAGGTATGGGATCAGTAAATGACACGGAGACTTAGTCTGCTTGGTCGTAAGGTTTTAATGATAAATGCAAAGCCAATCAGGAGTGGGTCCTGGCAAAAGTTCTCCTCACACGTGCACAAATTATTTTGTTTATTTACATTATCTGTTTGAACCTATTTTCTTCTTTCTATCTCTCTTTTTCTCCAAAACGAAACTAGAAATGAACTTTAAATATAAAAAATTAGCTCTTATGCACATTCAGAATGGAGCAGTTTGTTAGCTTTGGTTAAGTAATAGAGGGAAGGGAAAAACTTAAATTGCCAAAACACTTGCCTGTGAAGCCTCATAATTAGCATTTTCCTGGGATTTGCTCCTGACTGACCCATTATGTTTGGAATTCTAGTCTCATTTTCAGTGGGATGGGTGAGGATGAGCAGCTCTGGTATGCACAGATTCATCTCTGAAATGTTGAACTTACTTGAATAAGGATGTCTTGTGGAGTTACCTTTTCTGTTTTACAGCACTAATTCCTTGTTTTCTTTTCCTTTACAGTTAGAACATATTCAGAAACACATATGGTATATGTAAGTAACATTTTTTCAATTCATTTTTGTATGCATTCATTATTGGTTCTGATATTCAAATAATTTCTGAAGAGTGAGACTGGAGTCTGGAAGCAGGTTTCGCCTGGGTGGGAAAAGGGGCAGAGGATAGAAAGACTTTTAATTTTTTTTTACCCTTTGCTACTCATATAATTTCTTCTATATATACCAACCCAGGAACTTTTTTTGTACAGTGGCTAACAACTGTTTGAAATAGCACAGCAACTTGCTGTGTTAAAGAGATACCTGCAGGTGATCAGCAAAAAAACCCCCACAACTAGCAGCCATATTTAGTTTGCTATCCAAGTGCTGCAGACAATCCCTTGTAATACCTTCTTGACAAGAAAGCTTTCATTTGTTCTTTCTTGGCATCTTGGCTTTTCTCTGAAGTAGAAACAAAAATGATGATATTGATAAGTAAGCACCTGTGAGCAAGAGCTTTTCTGTCTCATAATCCCTGCTCCTTCTTCATAGCAAGCTAAGAGGCTGCTTCTGACCTTGTAACCTGTTGATGCGAGAATAGTTCTGTGACTTGATTAAAAGCAGCAGTCCTGACAGTGAAACAGGAGGTCTGGGAGAAAAGTACATGCCTGTCTAGTGGTTTGTGTATAAGGAAGATTGATGGCTTTTAAAAGTGACCTTGCACTCTGTGTAGCTTTAATAGTATTTCAAGAAACCTAAGTAAATAACTTTTTTATACTGATGATAACCTAATCAAAGAGAGACTACTTCACATATTAAACAAGGAAATGATGCTTTGATACATGTTTCTCAGGGTCAGCATTTCCCAAGTGGGTGGTAAGGGAAGTCCTACCTTCATAATCCTATCATTGCTCTTGAGAAGTACTCAAGGATTATATGAACTGATACATAAGCCTGTCACTAGTAAGAAAAAAAAAAAAACAACCACTTTTTTTTGTATTTGTTTTCTCTAATTCTATCTTATGGAAAATGTTCACCTCTGGATTTATTTTTAATAGAACCTGAGGGCCTTCAGTGGTTTGTTGAATAGCTAAGAAAACATTTGAACTAAGAAAAAACTTAGTTTGCCTGTAATGGTGGCAGCACTCTGCCCATGGCTTTTTCGTGCTCTCTCCAATAACCAGACATGGCACCTTTTTAAACCAAAGAAGGGCACAACTGTTGTCTGCAGCAGGTACTTTTTTTTTTAAACTCTCATGGATAAACGTAGAAGAAATGGAGGGGGAAAATCTCTGATTGTAATCTGTGAAATCTCTCCTATAATGTTTTACTAGCAATTCCAGAAGTAAATGCTGTTTACATCAGATTGGACAACTGATCCCCTCTGTTTCTTCCTGGAGTGAAATCAACTGGCTCTCTCTGTGCTTTAATCAGAACTGGAATAGGAAATAAAATGAAAAGTTATTGATCGCTTATATTATTATTCTAACCCTCCTCAAGATTTTTGCCTGGAAATTTTCACCTATTGAAAGACTGTTGTCCCAGGCTCTCTCATGCACAATTACACCAGTATTATTTCATGACTTTATTCTGTATTTAGAATTTGAAGATTTTTTTTTTCTTTGCAGACATAAGCATTTGAAATTTTTCATGTACTTCTCAATGAAGGTCAGACTCTTTGATGATTGACACAGTAAACTGTGTCAAGAGAAATATCATCTGAGGCTGTTTTCAGAAGTAGAAACTGAGTTTTGCAAAAGCAAGTCTCCCCTAGACTCCCAGTGTAGTCAGTGGAGAAAAGCTCTTCCACATGTCTCTTCAGAAGTTTCTGCTCAAAATAGCTTTTTTAATAAGTCTCTTTCTCATTTTCTCTATACTGGCCATGGATTGACCTCAGGAGTTTAACCTCCTGTGACTAATTTTAGTCAGTGAATAACCCTGCCACCTCCAAAACTCAGCTACTATCATCTGGTAATGTTTCACAGCCTCTTTGCATTCATTTTTCCTGGAAATACTGATGCTGACAGAGAAGGGGGGGTTATAAGTGCTTTATTCTATGACTGTTTTGCTCATCTCTTAAATTTTTTCCTTTATTTCATCTGCTATTCTATGTAAAATCTTCATCCTTTGTCATATATAGGTTACTGACCTGAAAGTTGTACTCAGAATATATAAGCGATTTCACTTAATTCTTCAAATAAATATTAAGGCTACTGTAAAACTGAGGAAAAGATTTAATTGCAGACTAAGAGAGACAGAGAAAGAGGTCTTGAAAGTTGAAATCATGATTCACAAGCCTAAAAAAGGAAAAAGAAATCAAAGTGAAACCTTTCATCAGCAACCTCCAGTTCTTCTTACTCTCCCACCCAAATTAATTCAGTGAGGTTTTTCAAGCCTTTATAATTGAAATAATTTATTTTTACCTCAAACGTAGGTTATCATAAGCCAGAAAATAAACAGCAGTTATTCTCACATTTTTTTAATAAAGAAAGAGGGCAAATAAAATTAGCTGTTGTGGCAAATGCATACTCCTGTAACACTGAGTTATTGCCCTAATTGTGAAGGTACCACATTTACTAAAACAAAATAAAGAATAAGTGTACTGGTTCTGCTTTGCTTTTGCACTGACGCAAATGGGCATCTCAGTGAGATTCATGAGAGAATTTCATGGAGAGATTGAAAAAGTCCACCCTCCTCAGGAATCACAGCCGTTGTATGCACCGATCCTCACAAAAAAGGGTGGGTTTTAAAGCAGCAATCGCACTCATGTGGGCCTTTAAAAAAATATATGTGATTTGCTGTATTCATCGTGTGACATTGTTTGATGTCTGTGTGGGCTGAAATGCAACAAATTTGTCACTCTCTGCTAGACTGAGAATGGAACAGGCATTACAGTCATGCCAATCACAGCCCAGACCCAGTGATTTTTGTTTCCTGAAGCACTGAATTGCGTTGTCAAATGACGAGACGCCTCTTTGCAGATTTTACTTGTACCTGATGAGGAGATGTGAAAATTCCTGCCTATGTCTGAGGCTGACCAGGTGCAGAGCATAAGGACATGCCACTTTCCAGTGCACAGAAGATGGCAAGCTGTGTTGTCGTCTAGAAATGGCTCCCATGCCAATTGATGCAAAAGAAGCTTGCAAATTCTATTTTGCTGTGGACTAGGGTGACTAGTAGGAAACCCAGATTTTCTGGAAATTTTCAGAGACAACAATTATTTTTAATCTCTTTAAATTACCTTAAGGACATCTGCTTGTAACATAATGATTGATTAATTAAGTCAATACTTTTCAGAAGTGAATTGCAGATCACTGAAAACCAAAAACACTGGGCTGCTTTCAAAGGTCCATCCTTCAAGAATTTATCTTAATGACAAGGTCATTGCTGTCTTTAATAGTGCAAAGATATGATCTAATCATTGCTTATTACCTACTGAGAGCTAGATCCTGATTCTAAGCGGTAAGAGTAGTGATCTCTTACAAGGAATAAGATGTTTCTTTAGTTGAACAAAGATTTCTGAATCTAGCTCTTAGATTCAAGACACAGACACTTCTGTGAGTCTCAAAGGGGGCATCAGAAGCTGTGTTTTAGTGGTTTGGTACACAAGAACGAATCCCAGGAAGCAGATTCTTTCTGTGTCCTGTATATTCTGCTTCCAGTCCCCAAAACTGAATAAAACTGAGAATGATGTGTCTGAGTGCCCACTGTAAGAGAAGTGGGATCTGACCCATGTCGTCATGGCCCATGTAATGTACACCACAGTCTGACTCCATGACATATATCCAGGAAGGGCTAAGCACATTTTCACTGCTTCAAGAGAAGATAAAACAAAAATTTCCAAGCAATCTTTCTGCAAGTGATGTCCCACAAACAGTTAACAGAGCAGATACCTCACAACTGCATTTCAACTTGCTTAAAAACAAAATGCAAATAGCATCCAGCAATCTCCTGTAATTGCCCCAGCATGTAACTGTCCTATCTTGGCTGCTATGACTTAGTATTGCCTTCTTAACTTGGAGGAAATAATCTACATTGGCTCTCTTTTTGGCTGAAACCTCAAGCTCATATGTATGATCCTACCAGAGTTGCTTTCTAACTTACACAAGAAAAAAATAAGGACATTTAAATTGGAACTTCTTTTTCTGTGTAGATATTTGGACAGCTCAAGATGTTAAGCTGTGCGAGTAACTTCACAAGTCGTGTCCACCTTATTTCTTCCAGCATCAGAAAGAATCTCCTGTCCAAACACGGACATTTGCTCCATAAATGGCAAATGCAGTTTAAATCTTCCTGATTCTTGTCTCCCACGTGGGAACCTGGACCCAGCGTGTGCCTGGACTCACACATTTGAATCACATAAAGGAAAGGGAGGACCCACAGAGCAGGGAAACTTTGACATTGCACAAGGCATCCATTGAGAAATAGCAAAGATTCAGGGTGGACTGTTTCTCCAATGAAAACACCACCACCACCACCAAACCCACCTCTTGAGGTGGATAGAGTTTACACAAATTGCTTGCTGCCTTTCAAAATAAAATCAAAGGATATTCAGAATGTCTGCAATATATGTCGTTAGGCAGTTATAATACCCTGACACCCTGACCTGTTTCTTACAGTCAGGGCCTCTAATTGCAATGAATAATCAATATTTCCTGAGCCTAGTGAATGGGATGAGATAATTGTGCAGAAAGCCTGCATTAAGTACATTTGAAAGAGTAAAATGTTCTGCTGCTAGTGTTGTGTTCTGAGGTCTGCCACTGACCACGGGCACCACACTTGAGCCAGAATTTTCAAATCTGCATATCTGAAGAGAAGCAGAGATTGTCATATTTGGGCATGTAATTAAGCAGCCTAGTTTCCCCAAAAACCTTTAAAGCGTGTCAAGTGGGAACCTGAACACTGAGATCTCTTAATCACATTAGAAGCATTAACTGCTGCAATGCCAGTTGGAATCAGAATTGGTGAAAAATAGTGACGGTTTGTTCAGAGCTCCTTCTTTGAAAGAGAATCACTCAGCTTGCATTATTCAACCTGATAGTCTGAGGTCTGGCCTGCTGATGAGAGAGCATCTCTAAAACCACGTAGGGTTTTGTAAATGTTCAGCATTAGGATGCTGAACAGCTGCTTCTTTTATAAGGGCACTGGTAAGTGAAGTTTCTTCTGCCTCCCTGACTGAATGCAGACATTTCTCGTTAGAGACCCAAATCCATAAGCTGCTGGTCAATCTTAGCCTTCACGACAGTTTCTTCTGAAAAAAGTATCTGTCTGGGTGGGAGCTCTGGTCTCTCAGTGGGAATTTAGCAGGCTATTTCCATCTGTTGCTGCAGGCTGTGTTTCAGAGTATGGGTTCATTTGTGACTCATGTTTCTTTTCTCTCCTTCTTTCCCTCCCCCTTTCTCCCTCTCATCTTCTTTCCTCTGCAGAGGGGGTAAGAATGAGCCAGAACCAGAGCAACCAATCCCTCGAAAGGTGCAGATTCGTTCTCTCCCTTCCTTGGAGGATATTGATCCAGACGTGTTAGATAGCATGCACTCGTTAGGCTGCTTCCGCGACCGAAATAAACTCTTACAGGACTTGTTGTCGGAAGAGTAAGCACTTGCTCAGTCTTCATATCAGTTGGGTGTCCAGGGACTGGGATGCTAATAAAGTGGGGGAGAGGTAGAGAGCACTGTAACTGGTGTCTCTCTCTGTGAGTGACTGGTAGCAACTTCTCACCCTCTGGCTGCTTATTTGCTAGTGAGGTGTTGGGAGCAAGCACTGAGCCTTTCTTGCTCCATGGGTCAGAAGCTCACAGCCTGACCAGCAATGAAGGCATGGTGCTGTCTTTTCCCTTGCTGCCAGGCCAGGTCAATTCATTAAAAGATGGGCTGTACAGTCCAGACGGGGAGGTATCGTTGCTGTTATGTGTGTTGGATATGCCTTTGTTGGCAGATTTTTATTTATTTGAAGCCTATGCCTAAGAGCTGGTGTATTTCCTGAGGTGTTAAGAGGGACACATAGTAGAAAGAGCATTTAGAGGCTCAGACCTGTCTTGCTGCCACTATTGGTTTGGACTTCCCGTGGACACATTACCTTGTCTGTCCTGTGCCTCTGTTCTGTGTGCATAACATAGGAATCGTATTTCCCTTCCTCACTAGCTGCTTGTTGGAGACAGCAAGGGTCTCAAAAGCTCTGTGGGTTGTGTATCTTGCTGGCAGGTACATGACTATTTCCAACTTATTTAGAATAACTGTAACTATTCATTTGATGAAAAGGGTTTATCTATGTGTTGGTGTTTTTTTCTTTCCAAATGTAAAGATTCGTTTTCTTTTTTTTTTCAGGGAAAACCAAGAAAAAATGATTTATTTTCTTCTGCTTGACCGGAAGGAGAGGTATCCTAGTCATGAAGATGAGGATCTTCCCCCTAGAAATGAAATAGGTACTACAGATATGACCTCAGTCACCAAGAACCCATATCAACTAGTTCCTCTTCACCTTTTTTTTTTTTTAATTTTATTTTAATATAAACCCAAAGTCTAGCATCACTGTTACATCTCCACTGAAATGGTGTGAGAATCCTCAACCTAGGGAAGGCATGTCTGTTTCATGGTTGAAATCAAGGGCTTTTTTTCTCAGGACATGTCTGTCTCACAGTGCAGAAACATCCAAGTAAGTCTTGAATGAGACCCTAAAAAGTGTGCTGTGGACCCACCAGCTGTCTATATGCAAACAGATTCGGTTTAGGAGCAGTATAATCTAGTGGCAGAATTTTCTAGTTACTAATCTACGTGCAGTATTGCAGAAATGCTGCTCATGGACTTCAACCAATGAGACTGTGTAGCAGTGCATCTCTATGCAGTTACACATGTATACATGCTCTCTTCTGTAAATGAATACATACGCTGTTGAAAATATGAATAATATCACTTAGCTATTTATAGTACAGAAATCAAACTCCCATGTTTTTAGACTTAGATTTTAAAAGCTTAACGTGCAGTAAGATTATACATCTCGTAAAGCCCTTGTGATACCACTTTATTTCTATTTATTCATTGATATCTTAGGGTGCTGCTGATCACCAAGGGCTTCACTAATCAACAGGAAAAATACTTCCCAAGGAGCTAACTATATAAGTGACTCTTGCTGTGCAGAGTGACAGAAGTTTAATAAAGGATTAGTCACTTCTAGCAATGATCTGAAATAGCATTTTTACGTAGCAGTGTTGTGATTTTCAGGCATTGTATTTCAGCACTTTAAGACTAGAAGTAAAGTGCTGGTTTTTTTCCCTGGAAAGCCTGGAATCTTACAGGCCTACAGGGCAATGCTATATTGCACTGTAAATTTGTTAATGCTCCATTGAATTATTACCTTATCCGAGTTCCAGGCTCCAGGCCCTATAATTTTGCAGGAGAATCTCTTCTGTAGGAGAAGAGATAAAAGTTCTTAGTTAACACAGCAATTTTTAAACTCCTACCTCGATGGAGCTACAGAGAACATGTTAGTGGGGATCCTGATGAAGATGAGTAGATGTGCCGGCTGCAGGTCCTGTGGTCAAAAGCCCCTTGCTCAGTGCAGTTTGTCATCTACCACTTTACTAATCAGCTTTTGACTCAAACAGATTATCCTGCCATGTAAGGACAGCATCATCTTGTTTTAGAAATGCTTTTGTCCTAAAAAAGAAGCAAGGTGACTCTAGAATCTTCATATCCAGCATGTAAGGGAATACGTAGCTATGCCCTAAATACATCATATATCTCTCTTCCACATGCCAAAGCATTTCCATGATTTGAACTACTATGCTCCACTCTTATGGTATTTTTGTAAAAGGAGTGAAAATGTTTCCTAAGAGGGAAACACTGCTCTGTATATATCACTGTGCTTCACCAGCACCTTTGAGCTTTATTCTTTGAGTGTTTGTAGGTTGTACTTCTTCTTCCACAGGGGATTTCCACATCCTCTGTTCCCAGCAGTATCTCTGAGAACATGGGGCAAGGTTTAATTAGGAACAGTCATGTGTCTGATTAATATCTCATCATTAGCCATTAGCAATGGCCTTGCACAAACAAAGAAAAGCAGAGAAAAAGTAACGGATTTAATAATAGCAGCTTGAAGAAATGTTCGTGAGAGTTGTGCATTGTCTGAGGTCTTGCCAAAAAACAACAAAGCATTTGAGAGTATTTTGCTTTTTTCCTATTTCTTGGCATATTAGGTCTCAGAAAGGACAGATCCAGGTGAAAATATGGCCAGCTCAGGCTTGCCCTCTCTTCTGGTGTCCCTTTTGTCTGTTCCAGCTGTATAAAGTTTTTTCAAAGAGCCAGGGAAGGGTCACTTCCAGTGTTTTTCAAGTGCAGCTCCATTTTCTTTACTTGAAAACATAGGAATGAGAAAGTTCTCAGTAAAACGAATGAATGTCAACTAATGTCTCATTGAGGAAAAGGCTTTTGTGGGGTGAAGTTTCTTAATAAACCAGAGAACAAGAGATTGGGCCAGAACAGATATATAGGATATAGGTGCCTTGTCCAAACTTAGAAGTTGAACCTTTATTTCCCACCTTCCATGAGATGGTGGATTTATAATTGGATCATTACCTATATGATTCTGTATTCTTCTGTAAAAATCCTTAGGAATGGCTTCACTTTTTTGATGTGAAATAAAAGGAAACTATATCCTCAGTACTATCACAGATCTTGACTATGGCGTGATGTTTTTTTGCCACATGGAATATTTCCAGAGAGTCAAGAAGGGAAGAGCAAATAATGGAGGTTTTCCTATTTTTAGTTCCTGTGCTTCTGAAAAATCTACTGCTTTTGTATGGCACCACTTTAGTCATTATGGCAGGATGACTGTGTATTTAACTATTTCTTTAGTATCTTTAGACTTGACAGTGATGATGCCCTGTCATTTCTTAATCAGACCCTTCTAAAAAGTATATACAATACTTGCTACTCTCAGCTATGTATAATGTAGGATTGTAGTCAATTTTAAAGAGGCATCAAATACCTTTATTAGAAGCTCAATTCATGCAAGTTTCTGGATATATTTTTCATCCAACTTTTGTGAATTGCTGTTCCTGAATTTATAGATGCATTTCACCATCTGGTCTTTTTGCTTACTCTCTCTCTTTGATAGTTCAAAGTATAGATTGGAAATCAATATCTTCCAGCATCTTAAGCAGCAATGACTGATATAAAAGAAACGTTTAGCTTGTTAGTGATATCCTTCTCCTCCTTAATTGTTCTGTTGATTCCCTCATGATCCCTCTGGCTAATGTCCTTCTCTTGAGCTTTCTCTCTCTGATGGCTATACAAAACACCACCATTAAAGTCTTTAGCTAATTCCTCTTCAAATTTCTTCTTCACTGTCTTTTAAAGTCCACCTTCTGTTTGGCCTGTCACTTTTGTAAGTGTCATTTGACTGAATTTCTGTTTGCTAAAGTCTTCTGTTTTGAACATGCTTGGATCAAATTGCCTTTTAAAATACATGTTCATAATATGTTTTTCATGCTTTTTTCCATCTTTCTTGTTTAGCCTCTATTGTTAGCTAACATCGATGCAGTTTGAACTTATCCATCTCCATTCTTTCAACACTAGATGCTTTTTTCATCTTGCTTCTTCCTCCTTTCTTATAAACTGCACTCTTTTACCTTCCTTTCTACTATCTGATATCCCGCTGCAAAACTTATATCAATTTTGTGTTATATATACTCTCCACATGTGTGTTACTCAGCTCTAATCACACTTACGATACCAGCAGTGTTCTGTGGCATGAATTCTTTCTTATACTTTCTTATGCTTTCAACTTACTTGAAGAAGGAAGAGTTTGAAAGATGAACCTTGCCCCAGCTTTCTTTTGACCACTTACACATATGCAGCTGAAGTCACACATGCTTTATTTGATTTATTTCTCTTTGCTTTTCTGTCAACTTTATGCCTTCTTTATTTTTCCTATCTAGAGTTCATTGCCCCTACCGTTTTCTACTATCTCTTTATTACTGGGCCTAGTTTGAAATTGAGTGATATACAACTGTACTTTTTTCCTTATTATTTTTTAACAGGAACATTATTACTGCTAATACAAAGAATACTTGGTTTATACAGTTGTTATCACTAACTAATGGGGTCAGTTGTTATCACTGACCCATTTGCATTTGAGCCATCTTTGCTTATGCTCATTGTTTCAAGAAAAAGCTCTACCTTAAAGAGATCTTGTTCTAAAAAACATGACATGAGAAAAAGAAAGAAGAAACAAGCAGATGGGGGAGGTGTGAGGAGGGCAGGATAATAAGGACTAGGCAGTAGAGGTAGAAGTGTCAAATATGATGTTTCTGGTTTTGCAAAGGAATCTTGACAGAAGAAACAGCCTTAAGGGCTGGGCACTGTGAGCTTCTTTCTAACGGCAGGAGTGAAGGATGCCTTCTTTTACAAGTGGTCACTCTCCACTAAAATTAAAAATGTGTCTATAAGCAGAGGCAGGGAATTGAAATAGCCCAACCAAAAGAAAGAAAATCCTTCTGTATTTTTTTCTGCCTTGCTCCTTTTTACTCTTTTGATACCATGAGAGGTGTTAGTAATAAAACATCTCAGCAGGTCTGCATTTAGTTCCCTGCTTCACCATGGAGGTGTGTATTGTTTGGCAAGTCACCTTCTGCAATGCATTTTGATATCTAAAGGCTCTTTTCAGAACAATTTAAGTGCTCCTCAGAACCTCAGTAAATGTTTGTCAAAATCTTTAGGAATGAATCTTTCATTCTTATACTTCAGTTTTCACTGCACAAAGCTAAACTAGCACTTTGATATCTCATAGAATTGTTACACAATAAAAGGTGCAAAGCATTTTGGTTACCTATATAGTAGTAAAAGCTGTATGATGAGCTCTGAGAGAAATTTTAGTGGTTCTCATTGAAGATTCATCTCAGGTAGACAAGCATGTTTAATTTGCAATGCTGAAGAAGGAAAAATATAAATCACTGGGAAAAACCTGAAATCTAATCTTAAAGATGCAAAAAAAGGATATGTTTCCAGAGCAGAATGCAATTCTGAGTTCAGAATGTACCCATGTCCTTGTGTCACATTTAATCTAGCTAGCAGGAGCATTGAAGGCAAGGTCTAGCAACCTGAGTGCATACACAAGATCCCTAGATGGCTTATGCTGTGGCTAACAGCCTGTGCTGTAGTCCATGCTGTTGTATCATCTTGTCATTACTGTTAGCAGCTTTGTAAGCTAATTTCTGCAAGCTACAGTATAGTTGTACCTTTATGTTACAGTGCTCATAGGTTCAGGGCAGGGGCAGTGCTCCTTCTCTGTGTAGATAGAGTGCAACTTATGCCTTAATGCTTGCAAGTTTGGAAGAAGGGAGAGACTGCAAATGTTCATCTCCCTCATAAAGATATCTGTCACTGTAGAGGAGGTGCAAGAGTGAAATTGTTGAGAGAAGATTTAACCAACCTGTGTGAGGTAAATCACAGCTAAATTCAGCTGACAGCGTTTTCTTTTCGTAAAGATCCCCCCAGGAAGCGTGTGGACTCCCCAATGCTGAACAGGCATGGGAAGCGGCGGCCGGAAAGGAAGTCGATGGAGGTTCTCAGCGTGACAGATGGCGGCTCCCCAGTCCCTGCTCGCAGAGCTATTGAAATGGCACAACATGGACAGAGGTGGGTCTCTGCTTTACCCAGGAGTCCTGCCTGTCTGGGTTTGCTACCCCCCTTTATGTTATACATACAAAGAAGCTGTGGAGCTTTCCTGTTCGCACCAGCACTCGTTACAACTTCCAAGCACATTTGCAACATGGTCTGGCAGCCAGCTGCGCTTGTGCACACAGGGCCAGGAGTCCTGCCAGGGGCCCGAGGGTTCTGTTTGCTTGCCGCTCTTCCTCAGGAAACCATGTCCTCTGGGCGGGATTCATCTCACCTCTTTTTGGTTGTGGAGAACATAGGCATTCAGTCCAAGCTTGCGATACAGGCTGACTAGGCAGTGGGGGCAGATGAGGGCTTTGGAAGGTCTCAGATACATATGTCCTGTCAAACAGGATAAATTATTCTCTGCTTGTTCTTCTCTGTCTCCATAGCCTACAACAGGAATCTAGGTAACTATCTTGGATTAGGTTCCTAGCTTTTGGACACCTGAAGTTAAATGAGATGAACCCCACCCTCCATGTCATCAGAACAGCTTGAATCTAAAAAACCTTGTCCAGACATCTGCAAATGCCTTTGAAATGTGCTGTCAGAGCCAGTGTGCATCTGACCCACATAAATTACCACTGCCTGTAAAGTGATGGAATATATATAATTTTACCTCTTTTCTATCAAAGAAAGTGTCAGTCTTACGGGGAAACAGCAGATGGAAATGGTGTCTCCTTAAAGCAAGTTCTGAGAGAGTAAGTGAACTGTAGAAATTCACTTACGTGAACCATGGACCTTGCTTCCCCAGTCCCTATGACTAGCCTAAGGGAAGTACATGCATTTGTTTTCACACTTGCATGAATCAATCAATATAAAAGAACACTTTACATATATGTATGATGATGCTGATGCTGTAACTTCTGTTTCAGCTTTGATATGCCTTTTTTTTTCATTCATCTCTTAAGATCTGCTCAAAAAGAGCTGTTGTGCCCAGAAGCTCCTTTTGCTGACTGAGAACTGGGTGAAGAACATGAAGTAATTTCATAGATACTGCAGAGGCCCCTAGAATCGCTGAAAAGTTTTGCTGGCAAATGTTACGGTTCTATCTACAGTGACAAAAAAGTGGTGATTTCCGGAATCTGCTAGGACTTATTTCAGACTGAATATGTGGCCTTGAGATACACTGCCCTAAAGATTTTTTGTTGTAGTGTAGGTTGGAAAGCTGTCTTGAATATGTGATTTTCTTTGGAATGAGGTCTGAGGTAAGGAAGTGTTCAGGACAGGGTGTGCTCTGTGTTCCTCATAGGCCTCAAAGTAGTAAGCATGAACACAACACTGACTCCTTATTCAGCCTGCCGTGTTTAATCTGGTACCTGGTAGATGCATGGGTCGGGAAGCTCCCAGAGCCAGACAGAGGCAAATTACTTTTCCCCACCCCAAGGCTGCCTGTGAGTTGCAGTATTCTGCATCTGTTTACAGGAGGTGTCCAACAGGATGGAACAAACAGGAGGTGTTAGATTTATCACAAAGTTTTCTGAGAGCTGAAACCTTTTCTTTCAGCTCTCAGCTTTGACTTCGGATTCAAAAGCCTGAAGAGGCAAAGCTGTGTTTTGCTGTCCAAAGTATTTCTTTTGCTTTTATATGTCTCTCTCAATTCTTCACACGAGGAAACAATTGAAGTCAAAAGGTCTGGGTTGAGTTCAGAGCAGAGACATATCCAGGCTACATATCAATGAAAAAGGGCTGTGGCTTAAGGAGGAAGCAAAACCTGCCAGGCACAAAAGAGATACGGGACAATGCATGCCACAACTCAGGAATGGACATAAAGGTGTGATTAAGGGTGGAAAAAGGGATGTAATAACACCATGACGGATGATGATGGCCATGGTAGTGCTTGTTTTTGAAGGGGTTAAAGGGAAGATGTTATTTTACTCCACGTGTGAGCTTCCATAATTCATACCATCCACATGCGCAGATGACAACAGCACATTTTGTGTTGCTGGCAGCACAGTCTTTTATAACATGAACTGGCTTCATTAACGAACACCACTGCATGGGGATTGTCTCGGGACGATGCATTGCTGATGGGGCACCATCTGTCAGAACAGTCAGTAATAAAATGACAAGTGCCTTCCACCAAGAAAGGGGATTTTTAATGACTAGTCTCATATTATATTCCATGAAGTGACCCACTGACAGTGGATTTTACAGCAGTAGGGTTTAGATCCCAGAGGTGGATGCTTTTTTAAGATGATTTGGTCTCAAGAGATGACTATTCAGTGCTTTTATCCTACAGTACTAGGAAGGTGGACCATGGAAACAGGTTTCCTGTTAAGACACAGATGATTTGTGTAAACATCCAGAGACAAAGAACCATTACTTCTTTCTTGAGCTGGCAAAGATACACCTCTAACCAGGGGGCAAAACACACCCAAGTGTCTTGTGATTTATTCCTACTGTCCTCTTTCACAGTAGTAAACAGATGTTTGCTTGCATAGAGAGGATTTCTGTTATAACCTCTGGTTTACATGTCTGTGTCATGAACTGTGCTTTTGGTAACCATGTGGGGGCCCTACAAGGGTCTGGTCTTGGCTTGTTTAGGGCATATCTTTCCACTGAAATTTGAAACTTGGCAGCCTTCAACTCTACAGGCTGAGAAAGTATTAAGTGAAAAACATAGTCCTTCAGTGACTTAGTTTTGAATAACAGATGAGGGGAACTCAGCACAAAGGATACTTGTTGAGCTTATGGGCTCCCTGAAATGCTTGTGCTGACCTCTCCAAGTGTTTTCCATTGGATCTATCTATATGACAAAGTTAGTATGCACAAACTCTAGCCACCCTAAAACTGGTGACTAAGTTTTGTTAGTTCTTGGATTTCCCTGCTAGTTGTCAACTAAATGGCTTCGTAATTATATCTTAATTGCTTCTGCTGTTCTGGCGTCCCCACCTCTCAGACTATCTGGTATTTCATTGAAATGTCAAAAGAAAAGAGGTGGTTTCTGAGCTTAGTTTAGCACCAGCTACTTTGTCCCTTGTGCTAAAATCACACAGATTAAGAAGAATTCCACAGGAGCTAGAATCTGTTGGGGATATGCCAGAAATTTTCAGCAGCTTTGCTGTGAGAGTCCAAAAACCATTCTAAAATGGGCTTCGTTAACTATTCATTTTCTTCTAGTTATTTAAGTGGAGAGCTTGCATGAAAGATCAGCTAACATTAGGAAGCAGTGTCCTGTGAAACAGTGAAGCATATTACCAGTGAAACATATTACAGAGAGCTGCCCTTTTATTAAAGCATAGGGAATTTTGCTTCTAAACTGCAGGGATTCAGACCCAGTATGAAAAAGAAGGGCATTTCTCTATACACTGAGTATAGGGAAGAGAGTTGGGAGTTAAGTGGTAATGGACCCTACAAATTAGAATACAAAATGGATTACCATTCCTCTAAGAGGCTCTATGGCCTGATTTTAACCTTTTCCCAGATTGTGCTTAGTTTTGAGGTCTCCTAGAAAAGTTTTGAGTAATGAATGCTTTACAAGTTATGCCTTCAGGCATGTTCTGTTTTCCCTGGACAGTGTGACAAAGTAGATGGTACCTGGTTTTTAAATTGGATAAAGGAGAGCAAGGTTTACAAGTATGCATTGGGGAAGTCATCTCAGACCTCGGAAGTCAGGGGAAGATAATGAACTTCAGCACTGTGTAGGTGTGAGCCGTAGCTGTAAAGTAAAAGGAAAAATTTTTCAGAGCATTGCTTATAAGGGGGAGGATGGGTTGGGGGGCTGGGTGTCCAGCATTGCTTCAGGTGACTCTCTTTTATAAAAATGTCCACAGTAGTAACTCTGTTTTCTCGCTTTGTTCCTGCCATAGTAAAACAATGTTCAGTAAAAGCCTGGATATCTCTGAAGCCAATCCCAAATTCAACAAAGAAGAAAGGTATAAACACTGACAATATGTTCCTCTCCTCTACCTCACTGCTGAGACCTTAAAGATGCAGTACTTACCTTCTCCGTGTGGGGACAGAGCTGTTCTATTCTCTCTTTAGAGAGAAGCAAAAAGGGTGGTTTTTTACAGCCCCACACCACATATGTTTTTGTGTAGTACTATTCCTCCGAGGCTATCCCCAATGCAGCCTGGGACTGTATCAATGATTTCCCCACAAAAATTTCATCCTACTGCTATTTCTGGTTCAGTTCTGCTGTGAGTGAGGATAACCAGGGTAGAAGATGTATTTGCTAAGACGTCCTTGGGAAGGATTGGAATATAAAACACTAGGAAAGCCCAGAGTGCTCCACTCCCAGCATTAGAAACAGCAGCACAACTGAGTCAGTGACAGCAATGGTAGGAAACTGGAAATTCAGTCTGACAGAGCAAAATATAGAGTACCTATAGGTAGGAGACAAACTCCTTAAGACTACCCAGAGGACACAGGAGGAAAATATGACTGAAGAGAAGACTTTTTGGAGGATGATTCTAATCTAACAGTTCAAGTGACAGATGGTGAAGAATAAGAAAAAGGGTTGCTCCTGACTGTGAATAGAGGCACAAAGGAAGATGGACAGGCCCCCAGATTTAGGGAGTTTAAGTAGGCTTATGTGGGTCCATTAACACAAAAAAAAGCTTAGACTTTTGGGAAGGTTTTTAGTGGACATATTATTTCTAAAATTTTGGTCTCGGAGGAAGAGAATTTTTCTCTGTGTTGAAAGCTGGCATTCCAATGGATAACTCCACATCAAAATATAATCCTTATACATTTTGGACAAATACTTAGCTTACCCAAAGGTTAGGAGTGTGGCATATGATTAAAAAAGGGAGAAGCAATGGCTTCCTTAAAGGAACCTATGACCTTGGCAAACCATTCTTCTTTCTGTTTCCCTTTTTCATAAAAATCTTTCTATTTAAAGATAAGTGTGACCTTTAAGCCCCAGGAGACTTGCAGGATGTGTGAGGGACAGCCCCTGTTTTGGCCTTTTGCAGGCTGAGACAGTCTTTTGTAGGCAGTGTTTCAAGTCCTGAACCTGCCATAGTGTAGAACATCATGCATCTGCAGGAGAGACTGTGCCTCATGTAGTGTGTAAAGCACCCTCTTTAAGATGCCAAAATACTAACAAGCATTAGACCTGAACTATTAGCAACCTCTTAGTTCCACAGTCATGAGGAAGTAGTGGTTATACAGCCTTTAGTGCCTGGGCTTTCCTGGACTGTTAGCATAGACATGGAAATTCCTGTTCCTTTCTCTGATTCCCCCTATATGTAAGTTCTGTTCATGAACATGTGGAACTTCTTGCCTTAAAACTTAGTCCAAATAGGAGCCTTTTCACAGTAACTGGAAGTCAGGTCGAGTAAGAGAAATGCAGAAATTTTATCTGTTACAAGAGAGGGGTCTTTCAGCAGATGTTCCTACCACCATTCCTTGTCCCTCTGTCCATCTCTGGCAGCTGCTACAGCTGTGTTAGGAGCAGAGGAAATGACCCTTCAGTAATTTCAGAGGGAATTTGTTAAATCCACACAGGCATTTCATGCTCCCTCTCAAAGGTGGTATTTTTCAGACAACAGGAGGAGAAGGTTAGAGCACTGCACGAGGATCACCCAAGGTCCTGCTCATTCAAGGACCAGGCTGGTTTTTTGAGGATCATGTTCACTGTGATCTTGCCTCCCTCCCACTTCTAAGAGTTAGAATGAAGGACCTCAGCGGTGGGAAGAACCTGGATTCTAGATGTGCGCGTGAAAAGAAGGGCTAGGCAGCGAAGTGAACCCCAGCAAAATGGGGTCAGATAATCAGGGTGGCCATTAAATTTTTGTCCAGTGCTTAATTATCCAATTTTATGATATCTTTTTTAAAGGAATACTGCATCTTTAAGGGTCCCTTCCCTCTAGATGCACATGGTTGTCTTAGTAGCTGAGGCCACTGTCCCTTTCTTTTTCTTTTTCTTTCTGACTTTCTTTCACCCCCTCTTTCAGTGCTTCTCTTCTTCTGTATCTGGGTTGCTGCAGCTCCGTAGTTCACTTGCTTCAATATTATAGGGAATGCACATGTCTGCGCTTCTGGGTCTATTGTGTCCTGGGATTGTTCATTTCTTTTAAACCTCATTTCCCTTTTTCTTTACCCTATTGTCAATTTGCTTTTCATTCTCTTTGTTAACTTCTTCAGTGCTTTCCCAGTTGGGAAAATGACTTGAAAGAAACATTATTGAACCTTCCTGCACCCATTCTATTTACATTTTACTATTCTGCATGTATGAATATGGGTGTATTTTCTGTATAAATATACACACAGGTTTCAGTATACAATGGGTGTCAATTTGCTCTTCTCAGTTACATCACTGTAGATAGATTTGTACAGGTACAATTGAGGACAGCATTTGTCCCTAAATATGTGCATATTTGTATATATATGAATTGTATCTTACCCAAATTTGCACTCCAGACTGAAATATAAATGGAGTGTCACTCAGACACATGAAAAAGAACTTACTGTAATGCTTCTTTCCACTTCTCTATCAATGCATAGCACTACAGCTTTTTTGTCCTATTCTAACTACGTTTTCATTTTAACTGTTCTCAAAACTGCCTTGGTTGCCCAGCCAAGCACTTGCAATGTTGATGTAACTGGAGGCATGGCTAGTTGCACTGAGCAGTAAACTGTGAAATCTACTGGGCATATATTAAATTTGGCATTTCTGTTGGAGGCTGTCTTGTGGAGAATGGATTTTTCTCACCCAGCCAGAGGTAGCTCTGGCAGCTTGGGAGCCTGTTATTGAAAATGGAGAGAATGAGAGAGAGAAAATGACAGAGAGGAAAAAAAGCATTGCATCCAACTTGAAAATAATTTGGCTTAATAACACCAAACTGTTTTTTTATTTCTAATCTAATCTTTGTTAATGTGAAAAGGTGGTGACGCTTTCCTGAGACTGCTTATCTGCACCCCTGAAAACTTAATAACCTGACTATTCTTTTCCATTTTGAATGTGTTGGTTATTAGTTAAAAATTAAGAATACTGAAGTTTTCAATTGTCACTGGCCTTCTAAGTCAACATGCCAGAGATTCAGTCTGCTTTTAGAACTGCTTTTTCAGACTCTTTTCAGCACAGCATTGATTTATTCTCCATTCACATTTGAAAGATTTCCTTTGCAACCTATAAGACCCAGAGACTGAATTTATTTTAAATGAAAAATGAGATCCTGGAGCACAAGATGGCATCCACAGAGATAAGTGCTGGGTTGCTGAGCTGGTATGTTCTAGCTGATGTGAATTCCTGACTATAAGACCATCATGACTAATAAGGCAGTATCAAAGCAGATTCACAGCTTGAGCTACAATCTTGTACCCTGGGCTCCCAGGCTGGCTCAGAAATGCATGCTTTAATAACCAATACGTTTCACAGTTCATTCATGGCAAAAAAAGTACTTCTTACCAGGCCAGCTTGGGGGACAGAGGGACACTGCACTGAGCAAACTGGGGACAAAAAACCCCAATTTTCTTGATAACAGTGTGATGTAACTGTGCCTTTTGTAAGAGGCAGAAAAGAAATGCAGCATGAAGTATGAACCCCATTGCTCTGCTGACTACTTTAATTGGGATTTGGCTGGGAATTTTTTTTTACAGCCTTAGTATGTCCCTCTCCATATTCTCCAGTGCCAAAGGTCTGCAATATTGTGAGTGGGATAAAAGTTACTTTCTGGTAAATGAAACTGTCCCCCTAGTGTTCCTGGTCTCTGAAGACATAGGCACCGGTGGCAATAATTATGACCGTTCAGTTCTCCAAACAGTATTTCACTCTGCTTTTCCTACTCTTCTCTCCACCTGCCTCCACACCCTTCTCTCTTTCTTTCTCTCTCTCCCTCTCTCTTCATTTTTCCTTTCCGAGGATGGCGAGTGCTGATCCGTTGGGGTAAGCTCTAGTTTTGGATTATTCCTGTTGCGGGACCTGTTGTATCTTGTAGAGAAACTTTTCATTTGCAATTTACAAATACAATACAGGCTCATACTCTTCGGTGAATGAGGCTTTACAGCAGGGAGAGAGAGAGAGAGAGATGTGGGAAGAAGCATTTTTGGTGCTTTTGTGTGTGTTTGTGAGCTTTCATGTTGGACTCAGACTCCATATAATTTGCTTTTTAGGATTCTTTTTTGTTCTCTTATTTGTCCCTCTGTTTCAACATCTGTGGGCACAGAAAACTATCCTCAGACACTGTGCAGGTACCAGGACACCTTCTGAGAATGAACCCCCCTTCTCTGTTTAGCACTTTTGTATCTGTTTGGTATCCTCCAGTTAATTTTAATCCTAATTTATCCATTTTTCTTCTCCTTTTCTTTCCTTTTTTTTTTTTAAATGAAACTGAGTCCCATCCATGTTATTAAAAAAATGCTGGGTATGCCCTCTCTTTTTAGAATGTTTTCTTAAGAGGTGAACAGATGGCCATAGAGACAGCTATATCTTCAAAGCTCTTTATTTTCAATAAAGACAATATAGGTACAACTAAGAATGCAATCACACTTCAAATTAAAGTTCCATTTGTAAATACTTAGGAGAAGGAGAATATTATATTAATAAATGATTTAATAAAACCATTGTAATATCATTACAGACTATAGCGAAAGCTTCTTGAGAAAGCTAATTAGCACCAGAAACATTTACTTCTCATGTTTGTAGCGTGCTTTACTATTTATTAATTCTTTCTAAACCATTTATAAATGGAACTCTAGTATAACTGGCCAGTTAAGGAGGGTGGTGCTGTTCAGCATCACCCTCTGTATGCACTGAAAGGACAAAGCGTGTGTTACCAACACCTGCGCTCCTTTCTCTGTACTCTTTGTAAGGCTTCATCTTACAAGCAGTCATTACCATGAGCAGACCTTCTGACTTAAGCATAAGTATTCCAAGTAAGAGCTGTTACAGTATTATTTGCACATTTGAGATTGTAACACAGTGAAACAACAAAGGTATTCTATTCATATTCCCTAAATCAGGGAGTAAGGAAGCACAGTTTGTATGTTTTAGACTCCCAAGAGTAATAGTGGTGAAATTTAACACACTTATTGCATATTAATTCAGGTCAATTCCAGGGGTCTCATACCCTGAAATTCAGTTTAGTTTTTTGGGGGTTTGAGTAAACAAGGGAAGAGGAGTATCAAATTCCACCCAGTTTATGCTTGAAGCAAATAAGAGGATGGCTAGATATTTTTTGAAATGAGTTTCAAAACTACACATGGAAACTAATTCAAAATTTCTAAGGCATTTCACCCAGGGACACAATTCTGATGCATTACTGCATGCTGCATGCATGCCACTGGCTCCCCTTCTTGGAAGCATGGCTCCAGCTTGACCAGCTAAGAGGCTGTATTCAGCATCCTGGTAAAACTGTGTTATGAAAGCAAGTTCTGCTGGGACTGCAACAAGGCACCAAACTCCCCTTTGACTGCAAGAAAAAATTCTGTGAAATGGTTATCGAAGAAGAAACAAATGCCGAATCCGACCTAAATGTGGCTGCGAAGCCTTTATGCTCTGCTAGTGTGTACGAGCAGATGCACCGTTTAAAGCACTTGAAAACTAATCTGAGAGAAGGGCTATGTACAGATGCTCTGTGCATGTGCTATATGTGTAGTACGGTTACCAGGTCAGCTGCAATTATTCTGTCTTGTGTTTTTCTCCGTCTACACCTCAGCAGTGTCAGGCTTCAGCCCTCTTACTGCTCTCAAGAAATTCTGCAGTTCTCTGAAACCAGCTGGAAACTGGATTCCAGCCCCTCAGTTTCGCCAGTAAGAGAACACTGATCTGACATGAATTGGGCCTAGCACAGCTTCCTCTTTGACAGCAGCTGGCTAAAATGAGTAAAAAAATGCTTTAAAATGAAGGACCTTTTAACTTCGATGCTTTGAAGTATCAAATAGATTGAATAAGGTATAAAATCATCACAGCTACAAACTACAGCTCACGTATGCACATTTTGTTTCAGTCCTTTGCCTCTCTCTTTCATAGCTCAGACATCTCCAGACTATTGTCAGTCTGCGGAATGAGAGGAATAACCTGCAATGGTCTCAGTGTCCACCTTATGTTTATAGTGCCCTCTGCATCTTCCCCCTCCTAAACCTTGGGTCTAGCTCCCTTATGGTTATTCTTTAATTCCTCCCTCCAGGCTTGGAAAAACAACTGTGTCACTTGCTCCCAGGGAAGGGACCAAAGAGTCTCTCCTCGAGTCTCTAAATGTGGCAGTTGTGTTTGAAGGAATGCTCTTTGTCTGAGCAACTGCACTGATTCTTCTGCTTGTATTTTCAACAATGTTTTGATGACTTCCATTGAGTTAGTGTGCAGGCATACGGCAATGCAAAACACAGAGCAAAATGAGTCATACAAAATGTTCATAGTTTCCGAGATGGTTGCATTTAGTATTAAGTTATTGGAATAATTATAAATTTAATAATTCCAGTAACATTTAATGCCTCTAAAGACTCTTAGGAGGTTATTCACTAACAGATACTTCCCACTGAATGAATTTAGTTCATAGCCGTGGAGATAAGGTAATGTCATATTTTTTTCCTCTTTCTACACATAAGACATAAGAGTCTGCCATACTAATGTGCTGCTGGTAGGGCCTCAAACTTTCATTTTCTTGTGAGAGGGATAAAAATTTAAATTCTCTGTTCTTTCGCTACAGCATTTCAGCATAATGCAACGTTTTCATTACTTTCTTTTGGCCCTATCCCAGTTCTGTCCACCTGACTCTGAGACACAGGAGCAGTGCATGTGGTTGTTTTTTTTACAAACTGAATTATAGCATTACTCAGCCAAGGTGATCTTGATGAGGGGGACAAATCTGTTATTTTTTACCTGTTAGCATTTTTGTACTGGAGTATAGAACCACATAGTAGGCCAGGGTACTGAGTTCTTATAGTCAGCTTGGAAACTATGTCCCATTTATAAAGGTACATTATGTTAAATTGAAAACGATGCAAGGAAGATCTCCTCAGTCTGGGTGTCATATCCCATAGCAACACTTTCTGGTAAGAGAGGAAAAGTTTTGAAAATGTAGAGCTCTTTTCACCTCAACATTTAAAATTAACAGAGGTTTCTTTAAAATCTTTTGACTGCTCCTATACGCAATTTCCAGTGTGGACAAACTGAAACTTGCTATAGGGCCTACTTTACTTCTTACTTATTTTGCATGTAAATCAGCAGCAGAAATAAAGCAGTCGTATGGATACTGAGTGCATTTCCAAGAGGATTTCATACTAACTCTCTCTTATGTCCCCTGCCTCAGGCTCCTAGGCTGGATGAAAACACAGTATACAACAACAATTTTTCAAATATTGCTAAGAAACTGGGAATTGGGAGGTGGGGCCTGCCATATTTTGCCCTCCATGTGTGTGATCATTTTTGTAAAAAAAAAATAGGAGATAATAGGGTTGGGAAGGGAGAATTCAGGACTGTTGGAAACACCTGATTGCAAAAAGGAAATAGCAGATTGGAACTTTTAATCGAGTATCCCGGAATTCAGGTGAGTGTCAGAGTGGACTTTCCCACCATAATTAAGAGTTGGTGGGAACACCTCCTTTTACTCTAAGTTGGTGTTTAACTGCATTTCTGGGCACCTGAATGCCTTCCACATTTGTCCAAGATAATCTATAGGATCCTCTTGTAATTTATGGTTTGGAAGAAGCTTTTCCTGATGATTCATGCAAGGAAGATTTTTAACTAATTTACTCCCCATCTGCACAACACATCTGTGGTGCAGTCAGCTACTTCAGTTAGGGGAAAGGCACATAAAGTAACCTTTAAAAAGTGGAGCAGACGGTTCTTCCCCTAAAATTACTTTGCATAAACCTTTATGAGTGCCCCAGATCATGATGGTGAAAATTTAGGTTTAATCAAGTACAAGAGAATGCCAAGAGTGAGCTTCTAGTTTTTTACTGTTGCACTGTGATGGGCAGAGTGCAGCAGGGTACAAAGAGAAACTTAAGTGGGGAGTTTCTCCGTAGAATGAGTGCCTGAGATTTTCATGGTGCCAATGTAGATTTAATCTGGTCGAGACTGGGGTTCTGCATTTCACCTACTTACTGTGATGAACAAACTGCAATGAGATACAAAGAAAACCATCAGTGAGTAGTTTCTGCAGATGATACAAATAGAGAAAACAGAACATGCCATTGTGTTCAGTTGTAGCTTATTCTTTCCTTGGAAATACTTCCTCTTTTGCCGTTCACAGATTTTTTTAAGAATTCTGCTCAAATATTTTTAGCAATATATGTCGGGAGACCATTTGAGAAACCGATGTTTTTGTTTTTATTCTACAGCAGAAGAGAGTAAACTGACATAGTTTATGGTCTAAATTTCTTTTATGTATAAGCCAACATCAGCTATCTGACCTATGTAAATTTTTAATGTATACATGTGTACACACACAGACACATATACCCATGCACTCCATTTTCCAAGCATATACAGGAATTTCACCTTTTCGTGTTTGCTACCTGAAGGCAAGTAATTGCTTTCATGACTCTTACTATACGTGAAACATTGTTAGTTTTGCTGTATTGACATATTGTTGCATGGTGGTCGTTGAACAACTAGGTTCTTAGCCAAGTCCTTTCCTATAAGATGTTTCAGTCTTCAACTTTGTGTTTAAAAAGGATAGAAAGCAGCCGCCTCTGGGGCTCACTCATGTACAGTCGCACACAGGGTGTGGTTTTTTTTTGCTGGGCAGCCCTCCTCCTAGAAACTTCTGCTGAAATGTTTGTGCAATTTGGCCTGTCTGCTCTTTCACCATGTTTAGCATAGCACATTTGCACATTTTATTGTCAGTAGCTGACGTTTTTCATCGGTGGCCTTTGCTGGAGAGCATAAGAGCATTACAGTATAGGTGACCTTGTCAGCAAATAGGGCAGTTTACTGTTCCTTGACTGGCCTCTTTTTGAGGGCACTTGAGCTGTTATCTGGATATTAGTAAAGTCATCAACAAAAGCAGAACTGATTATCCATTGAGAAGGCCTGGCTTGTTTAATGCAGCAGCAAGAAATCTTGCTGGAGAGCAAAAATGTGAAAACCATCAGTGAGAAGCTGGAAAAGGTTAAGCCAATGTGATCTTTGATTTCAGTGGGAAGTCATCACATAAAAAATGATTGTGTGCTTGGGTCAAGGAGACTTGTTTTTTAATTATTATCTGGAATAATCCCCTTCCTTTGTGTCTTGTGAACACGGTGCTTTTCCATGTTGCTCGTGACAGAGAAAGTCTCATTCTGTGATCTCTGGGTCTGTGCAAAACAGAATTCTCAGCACCAATATGAATGTCTTCACCATCCTTTTGAATTCAGCAGTTCAACTTGCACAGGTCAGATGTAGTAGCTTCCATGCGCATGATGTCCAAAAAGAAATTAGCAACTGCCTTAATCAAAAGGGATTAATAGTATTCTCCCTGAGCAACAACATTTCTTTGATTTTGGGGGGGGACAACTGAAAAATGTGACAGTAGTGAAAGGAAGGAAAAGGAAAGAGTCGTGTGCTTTTCCAGTGACAGCCTCCCTCCTCCTCCTCACTTCATGCCTGTGCCTGTGGTGGCTGGTGATCAGGGTTATTACTTGTCCAGGTTTTCTGAGAGATGTTTTCCTTATTGTGTCCATTCAGGTCTCGGTCAATCAGCGGAGCATCATCTGGGCTCTCCACCAGTCCTCTCAGCAGTCCAAGGGTAAGTGGTGCTGCTTCAAGATCTGTTGGTCCAATTCACTCACACATGCTTGATGCTTTCTGCATCTGTTGCTCCAGAGCTGTGGCTCTTAGCTGGGATGTTTTGTTTTTCCTTGGCAGCTTATCAATTTTCATGGATGGTGAGGGAAATGTTATTTACAAATGCAAGCAGAGAATTTCTCATACATGTTCCCTGCACTGTTAGCAGGGATCTCACTGTGCCCTTGCCCTTTTTCAGTCTCATAAGGACACAGAATACCATTGCTATGACTAAACACTGCCATATCTAGCTGAGGTCTGCATACAGTGTGGCTTCAGACCGAGTAATCAGGAATCATTTCACAGCTGTCTTCAATTAGGTCTCAGTAGAGCACCAAACCATGCTGGTTGTCTTCTATTTGCCTCAGAATAGCTTGTATTAGAAAGTCAGAGAAAATAAATTATACAAATTTGAGGGCTAGCAAATTCAAAAGGAAAGTAAGAAGTTGACTGACTAGGATGAGTAAAGAACATTCAAACCCCTATAAATAAGGTACCTTCACATGCCCTTTTTAATCATATATGGTCAACTAAATACTGGTACTTACTGATACTTAGCTAGTACAACACACGCCTCACGGTACGTGTGTTGCAAAGTTTACAGTTTCTAAGTGCAATGACAGGGGCCTCCATCTTCTTGTTAACTTCTTTAGGGATTAAAGTGAGTATCTCTAGTGCCTGACAATGTCTTTAAGACTGCATGCTTACAGAAGTCTAGACCTCATCAAGGAGTCTGTAGGGCTGTGGCAATCCATGTTGCCTGATTGTCTGGCCCAGAGTCTTTGGAGAGTTTCTACATACTTTTCATGACTTCATGAGAAGATGCTATCCGCAATTGGAAATGGATATATTCCATGTGTTAGGGTACAGATACACCTATGGATCTACTCTTAGTTATAGGAAGATAACATCAGTGTTCCAGGTATTTGAAATTATAATTCCCCAGGAAGATTCTGTGTAATTCTTATGAATGAAGACACACTGTCAGGTGTAAGTTTATAGACTAGTAAAGCTTCCAACACCTTGCTTGATTGAACTGTTTTCTGAAAGATATTCTAGGTTGCTGTCAATTGTTATCCTGTTTTGCAACTGGCATAAATGTATTTGTGGTCTCCTCTGTGCTTTTAAAGTGCTAGGAACCAGTGAAGATCCATTTCTTTCTTTCTGCACTGGGGCTCCTGGTTGTCAGTGGAAGCAAGCAGAGGTCTGAGGACTTTTATGCCACTGCAAAATGTCCTGAAAAAGAGCACAGAAACAGTTTCGTGCACAAAATAAGCATCCAGTGCAGCAAACCTAAATCCTGATGTCATCAGTTGATCTCTTGGGTTCAATTACTGACATCTCAGTAGGACTACATCAAAGAACAGGGTTGACAAGATCTGTTCCATAGTTGCTGTATCTTACCATTATCACTTAATAGGCAGTTGATTAAATAGTCTTCAAAGGGATTTAGCAACCAAATGTCATTTTCAGCAGATCATAATGATATATTAAGGCAGGTAAAATTTGAGGCTTAAAAGGAAATAACGGAATAAAAATCATATTTTTTTAAAAGTCCTTGCCTATGCATCTAATAGCACCTTAGATTATTGAAAGAGAACATACTTTAAAAAGCAAATACATATTTCATTTTATGCAGTGCTTAGGTTCAGTTCTATGAGGAATTGAATTCAACAGCAACTAAAAGTTCTCATATTTCACAAGATCTTGTTAATGGTGCTCCCCATGGCACCAGCTGAAATAGAGACGTAATCTTGTTCTTCATTTCATTATTAAGAATGTGGTAATTAAGGGTGCCTGTTCAGATTCCTAATGGCTCAAGTGGGAGTTGAATTTGACTTTTGTTTCTTTCATATTTGTTTCTCAAACCATCACACACATAAGATACAAAAATTGCAAGGAGACGTTTGCAATCAACAGTCTTTGACTTTTATCCGTTGGTGTCATTTGCAAATGTTTAATATTCAGGTGCTGGTAGTGACTTCCACAGATTAACCACTTTCCTCATCTTTTCCCCATCGTTTCCCATTGGCAATCAGAATTTACCAACACAGCAGATTTTAGTTTAGCTTTACAATCCTAATAATAATACAAATGTTTTGATGTAGTGATTTTTTTTTTTTAATTTTAGTGGCCTAACTCTTAAGTTCTCTGAAGTAATTACAAAGCTTTAATGCAAACAATTTCAGGAATGAAGCTTTAAATAAATTTCTGCAATTTTTAAAGTATGGCAACATTGTGCTAATCCATCAAACCCAGGAAGTAAACTCCCTAGTAAGTGTGCTTACATGGGACTGAAATTTGAGGCATGGTTACATGTACATGGTATGTCTGGACAGTGCTTGATTGCAGCTTTTAGGTGTTAAGAATGGATAATAATAATGGTGATATATCATTTTTCATAGGTAATAATTTATAGAAATCATAATCTAAGTGTAGACCAAAGCTAAATATCTCGAATAGCGATTTCTATTTTTATAATTTTTCCAGTACTTGTAATCTAAGGTGTTAACAGCAGTGTTTTGTAAGGACATTTGTTTTATTTTAAATGTGATTTTTAGCTTACTAATATCCCTTTAAAAGGCTTCTACCCTTCCAAGTCTGTCTATTGCTGTTTGCTGTCAACGTATGAATGGTTTCCCAAAATGCCTCTTAATATGTGTAAATATTCTTGTTTCGGAAAAAAAAAAATCATAATCTCATTTTGATAACTCTGTGATGGATTATGAACTTTGCTTGTCTTTTTCTTTTTAAACTGTGTCTTACAAAACAATAGCTCACCTCACCCTCTTCTTAGACTTGAGACTTAATGGCAAATATTGCTGAGACTTTATGACAGAAATTCCAATGATCAGGCTGTCCTTCGATGCAATGAGGGATGTTGCAGGAGAAGCATAAAGTCTGATGGAAAATATCATCTCTTCCCAGATAAATAAATTTGCTAGGCCTCACTGAAGTTTTTGCTGTAGCAGTTTACAAATCAAACACCAATCTGAGTTCATAATTTTTCTCGTGGTGTTTCATGCTCTGAAGCCTCCAAGTGAATGCTGGAGAAATTTAAGCTTCCAGGTCAGGAGAGGAGAGTGAGTGCCCAGGTGGCATTACTTTCCCTTTTCCTCCTCTTTCTGCAATGGGTGGCTGCAACTCGGGTGTGCATTAGCCAGTCAGGGGTAAAGAGGAAGGAAAGAGGTTCTGACTGGTGTGTGCAGTAACTCTGTGTATCACCTGCCACTCCCTATGTATCACACACCTGTTCTGAGTTTCATCTCTCTACTGGGTTTGCACATGGGCACATGGAGCTGAAAGAGGTGGTCCCATTCTTGGCACATCTCAGTTTGTCTGTGGCTTGAGTGGTTCTTCTTCCCCTTCCTCACCTCCCTACAGCATCGTGCTTTTCACACTGCAGGGCAATCAGAACAATCCCAGAGAGATGGCATTTCTCTCTTCTTTTTTCTTAGTTACTTTCTTTTTTTATTTTTTTAATTTATTTTATTTTACTGTTCCTTTGTTGTATTTTTCTTTCTGTTGTTTTCCTTTGCTGACACGTGGTTGGTTAATATGATGAAGCCTGTTATGACACTGTTGTTCTTGCTGCTGCCGCTGCTGCTGTTGTTGATTATGCTGTGTTCCCAGCTAACTGCATGTCTTTTTTTTGTTTTTTGTTTGTTTGTTTGTTTTCGTTTCTTTGCAAAATCCCTCCCCCCACTACCCCTTCACCTCCATCACCTGTGTCTCCTTGTGACATGGTGCATCTTTGTGACTCGGATGGATTTTATTCTGACTTTCCTTTCTCTGCTCGCCCGCTCTATGCGTATTTCACTGTTTTTGATGTGCATGGACACTCTGCGTCTGTCTCGTAGCCTATCAGAAAGTTCTTCATCCCCCCTCAGACCTCCGACCTCCCTTTCTCTCCCCGACCCCAAGTCTCCTTGGACCCTGATGCTTGTAGGAACGCCTCCAGGCCTGGACATGTACTCCAACCAAAGCCAGCACTTCAGCCCAACCCAAAGACGCAGACTTTGCCATCCAAGAGCAAATTGGCTGAAAAACCACTCCAGTCTACTAAATCCAACCCACTCCCTACCAGCAATGCCAGCGCCCCCTCTTCCCAGAACAACCCTGTGCAGAATGCTCAGGGCCGCTCGCCTGCTGCCGGCTTTAACCCACAGCTGGCTGTTCCTAAAGTACAGACCAACCCTATGTCTCCTGTTAGATTGCTCCCTTCTAGTACTGACCCAAGCACCAAATCTATCCCCATCATACAGGTCACCCCTCACCCCTCTCCAAGGGGAAGTCCCCTCCCTACCCCCAAGGGGACACCTGTTCATACGCCAAAGGAGAGCCCAGCAGGCACACCCAACCCAACACCACCATCCAGCCCCAGCATTGGAGGAATGCCATGGAGGACACGGCTCAACTCCATCAAGAATAGTTTCCTGGGGTCTCCTCGCTTCCATCGTCGGAAATTACAAGGTGAGTACCCACCCAAACATACAGGTGGTTCTGATTTGGGCAGCTGTTCGTCAGGAGGTTGATACCTTTCTGGCTCTGCAAATTCCATCTACCAAGGACTGAGTATGGATATGAAAGTGAGAGTGATAGCATCAGCCAAGCCCTAATCCCCATGTGAGCAGGCTCTGTCATGCCATTGCACCTGCTCCAAGAGCATCTCCTGAGCCCTCTTCATACTCCATGCATAGAGCTCGTACTATCTCTGTTGTGGCTCTTAGACCACAAGAAAAATTTATCTTCACATTCTTCACTTGTTTTGTAAGTGAACTTAGAGCTCTGCCATTTCCCCTGTGGCTGTGCTCTGCTGCCTCTCCACAGCCACAGGCTGAGCCTTCTGCTGAAAAAAAGACAGCCAGTGGCAGTAGGCTAAAATTGTCCTTCTGAAGCAAAGCTTTTTTGATCTTGGTTAATGCTTCTTTTACTGCCTTTGGTAATTGATGTAAAAATCTCTCTAATACAATCAGTGTCTTCATATCTGCTGGCTTACTTCAGTTTTCAAAGCCTCTAGAGTGTTGAGATGTGCAAAATTTCCTTCCTCAAGTTCCAGGTGGCTTTCTCTATTCAGGCAAAGAGCACCCAAAGTCACATGCCGTCCTTGGACGTCAGCAGCAGCTATCCCAACACTATGTGGTTTTGCAGGGTACTGGGATGTGATCCCATCGTAAAGGAAGCTCACAGCCATGAAATAGTTAGCTGTGATGGTCAGTGAGATTGTCTCTGAGATGGTCAGAGAACTGCAGAGAATTGCAGCAGTGTGTTTGGGTCTGAAGCCAGTGCAAGATTGCATAATGATTTAAGGAAGGGTGAAGTGAGCCTTGAAATGCAGCACTTGATTAGATGCAGTGATCTAGAGACATATGACCAGTGTTCAGATGTCAGAACCAGTCTGCAGAGGCAGTGGGCAAATGCAAGAGGGTGCAATACCAGCGTTGTTTCCTTGGTATACAAGCAGAAAATGAAAGGTGTACTGAATCATCAATTTCTTTTCTCCTTCCCTCTCTTCGTCTGTATGTGCATGGGCAGTACCTACACCAGAGGAGATGTCTAATTTAACCCCAGAATCATCCCCAGAGTAAGTAATTTGCCAGTACACTACCTTTTTTTTTCTACCACATACCAATGTCATTTCCTTGTCTCAGTGTCATAGGCTGACATATTTCTGTTCTAGATCAGTATCTGTAACCTGTTCTCCTGGGGGTGGGGTAGAGATGTTAAATGATTCTTCTGATAAAGACCCTGGATAAAATCTATACTTCAGAAATGGCACTGGGGGTCAACAGTTGATGAAACAGTCTCCTACTAACCACCTCATTTTCTCATGGCTTGCTGAATTTGCTGGGTTTGTAACATGTTCCTTCTCTTTTCTTTCATCTACTTGTCAAATAGATCACTCTTCAGGTGTGGAGAGGCTAATCTGTGGCTTATACTGGCACTAACTATGCACTAAATAGTCTTCCTTCTAGTACAGGAGAGTGCATCCTCAGGATAACATGCAGAAGCCTCTGCTAAGATAATTCAGAGGAATCTTTGGCTGCGATAGTAAACGCAGTGTTAATTCTAGGCAGCAGCACTGGGACATGGAGAAGCTATTTCATATTCACCAGACTCATTCCTGAAAGTCAATGTACATTTCAGCCATTTCACTGCACAAATGTGCGTCACTGCATGGCAGGTTTGGAAGTCCCTGCCAGAGTGCTGCTCCAAACACTTCCTAATATGCAACAGATGCCAAATTATTCCTTTTTATTTTCACAGCTTGTGTTTGTGCACCCAATGCCCATAGACTTACCCTGCCAACCAAGGCAATTTGGCCCCTTGTTAAGATGCTTGTATGAAATATTCATGAGTCTTGGATGAAAATTTTGGGCACAAAGTTTTGTAATTGGTGACTGTGGTATTGTCTTAACAACTTTCCCTGGACCTGGTATTTATCTGGTGTAAAATGTGTACTCTACATGCAGTACTGCATAATGGAGAGAGATAAAGACTTAAGAAGAGGGAGAAATAGGGATTAGTAAAGGTTAGTAACAGAAATCCAGGAAGAAGAATGGAATATATTGTGTTTTCAACACTTTTGAGCATTTACTAATAGAGAGGCATGAGAGAATTTCATAAAATTAGCACATCATTATGAAAGAAATATACAATACTCTCATCTCACATGTTTTTAAGGCCATTAAAACAGAAAACTTTTTAGAATTAAATTTCTCTTCTTCATTGCATGTAAATTGTTGGAAGCTTTCCTGTTAATTTATTGCCCTCTCTGCTTTCCACTCACTCTTTAAAAGCTGGTGTAGAGAAGTGCCTGTCATTTGAGGCAGTTTGGATGCAAGTCAAAGCCTAAGGCCCTTTTTTCGTTTTCTGTATAATTGCCAAATTAATGAGTTCAATTGGGCTACACAAGTCATAAAAAATAATGAACTGGATTATATTTTAACAATAGATGTCTGTTGCTCACTGTCCACTTTCTCATGTCTTATTTTTTCTAGTATTTTCTTTCTTTCTGTAAGAAATAAGATAGCCTTATCAAGAGCTGTATTGACCTCATAGGTTGAGTGATAAATACATGTCCTTGCTCTGTCTGGTACAGCAATGACTGCCATTCATTTAACAAACCTGATGATTAGGTAATACACTTTGACATGTCTGGGTAATGCTGTTCTTTCTCATGTGAAAAAGTCCTAGAAAATGTGTTCGGGATGACATTTAAAGAGACTTAGCTCCATCTGCTTTAAACCTGCAAAGCTCCATTTGCTTAAGTAGAAATGCTGTTATTTATGCCAAGCAGGTAAACCTCTGGAGGTTACAGATCCATGTGCTCAGGGATAGAGAGGGAACACAGTGAGGCTCTCCAGAAGGCAGTGTAATCAAGACACTCCAAAAGTAGGAAAAGAAACAACATTATGGCAGTGAGAAATTCAGTGTGAAGTAATAAAGCACCAGCTTCTATTTGCATGCTAATTTCTTTGCTTTTTCATCAACTGGGCACCTGATTAGATTCCCTAGTGTAATCTGCATACCCAACCTCCCCCACATATCTGCTATCTCATTCCCCCTTTAAGAGGTTTGCCATGATAAGAGAAGATTCTTTATTTTAAGTACATTTTGTACTGCTTACAGCCTGATCTCGTGAGATGCTAGAGCATCTCATTCAGCGTGCTGAAGATCATTGATTCATACACATTTTAACCCAAGTTAGTAGCACTTACTGCTCTCTAAGAGGAGAAAAACCTTTATTGTGTCATTTTACTCCAAAGCTGTCCCTTTTTCTTCAGTGGGCCTATTCCCCAGGTGTACGAGTACAGCTAGTTCTGCCAGTTTCAGGGGTAGAAGCCAGGGCCTGTGTGCTATGTCTCGATTCTGTTCATTACAGAAACAGGAGAGGCCACTGGCATCTACTCCATCTTATGCGACACCAGCAAAATTATTTAGTGAATTCCAGTGATTTACAAGCTGGAGCATAGCCCAGGCTATCAATGAGTCATCCAGAGTTAGTATTACGGGTGATAACCTTGCCGAGGAAAAGAGCCCAGCTGGATTCTGGAGACTCCAGACCATGCTGACCGGGAAAAAACCACCCTATGTTCTGGGCCCCTTCTTACCTGGGCTTGTTAAGAGACCTATAAATGAAGGGCCAACAAAACCATTAATGACAATACAGAAATGAAAAGCCATATTTTAACATGGCAGATCTGCAATTAAATATGCACACTTTTCCAGGCCCATGCTTCCACTGGGCCCGGAGTCTGTATCGCCAACCCTGGTTCAGATAATGATACATCCAAGCCTAAGACAACCAGCCGTTTTAGATAGATAACCAGGTGCTAATTTACTAATGAGCATAGACCCTTTACATGCGGGGGAGCTATTGCCCCAGCTCTCCAGGGGCTTGCAGAGTTGTTATGGTGTGTGCGAGACACATGAGCTAATTAGTATGTAATTTTCTTTCACACTCTAACCCTGGCTCCTTAACGACCATTTAAATGAGAGGCCCTTTCTCTTTACTGCTCCCTATGCTAATCTCTGGCTCACTGGCTTAGTTACAGCTGCCTATGAATATTTTAGGGAATGACAGTTTTCCAGCCCACTTTAATTGAGTGGGGGGCACTGGTTTACCAAATTGCAAGTGAATCTTTCTGTACTCTTATTTTTGGATGCCTACAGTAAATGAAGCAAATAATTATTTGCCCAGCTGAGTGGTCTTCCAGTTGTGGTCTTTCTACTGCGTGCATTAAATGGGCTGTGAGCTGACTTATTCATGGAGCACTCTGGAATGGGGAATGAGTGCAAATTGCTGGACAATACCGAGGTCAAGCTTTGTTCTTTATCCTGAAGGCCTAGACTTCAAATTAGTTTCTTAGTTTGCTCCTCTCTCTCCTAGTCTCTGCCCATCCTTGTTCTGCCTCAGTCTGAGCCTTTGCCACAGAAAGTTAGTCTACTAATAACTCACTCCAGCTGTTCATTGCTTTGCTGTAAAACTGGTGTATAGTAATCCCTTCTGCAGATGGCTCTCCTTGTCTGGAGAGATTGTCTTCTTCCACTCAATGGTGAATGTCCACCAAAATGAGTGAAAACCGTGCCATACTTCAAACCAGACTTGGCATTATAAAGTATGCTATAGAGGAAAAAAAAGGCAGTCTCTTAGTGGCAGGACTTTTCATTTCTAACATATTCATGCCAAATTCTTCCCTACTAGAAGAATTTTCCCTGGGTTTAGTTTGGTCTAGCAATTCTTTGGCCGTGTCTCATGGCTAACAGCATCTTCTCTCCCATCAAAACCACACCTGTCAGAAATGCTACCTTCAAGTTCTCGGTAGTGTCTCCCATTAAAATTTATGTCCCCGAATTCTTCCTTTAGCCTGTTTAACTTAAAAGGTAATGTCAACAAAGTGGACTGGTAAAACAGTAAGCAAAATCAAACATTTACTGATACAATCAGTGTGAAAAAACAGAGCAATTTCATTTTATGGTGAAACCACTACCTGATGCTGAAAGGAACTGTGAAGTTGGACTGCTGTCAGTGGAAAGCCTGAACTGTGTTTTGCACGGTGTTGGCATCTTCTTTCTTAAGTACTGAAATTTCATTCCTTTGTAGGATGACCAGAGTTCACTCATTATATAGACACCCTGAACTAGACTAATGAATGGGACAGTCTTTATCCTGACCCTCTGTGTGGGAGTGGATTTCACTCACTGACAGATTGGAGGTCTGGTAAAAGCTACAGCTTGCTTTAAAAAGCAAGATTTTGTGATTGTACCATCAGCCCAACAGGACACCTTTAGAAAAGGAACTTTTTAAGTCCTATAACACCAAAGGAGTTGAAATTGAGTGGGAAGGAACTTAAATCTCTGTGTTGCCAGGATCTGCATATTGTCACATGAAATGAATGGTTCCCTGGAGACAAACCAGAAATGTGTCCCCTGGCTTATATGGGCTTTATATATGCAGTATTAATCGGTGTATTGGCTCAGTCAAAAGAGTTACTGCTGCTCCTGATTTTTCATTGTTGCTGCCAGACTAAGACTGTGTGGTCTGTCATTTTACCAGTTTTCACTAAGTGAAACGTTGTTCTGGATGTTCTCTGGCACTATTTTCCACTTACTATTAGCAATAACATCAAATCTGGAGTGTTATCAAAACTTTCTTGTGTGTTTTTTAATTCTTTTTCCAGCTAGGGGTGTTTAAGAAAGAAGAAGTAGTACTCAGTACTCTAAACCATCTCTTTCTTTTCATCACATCAGGCTTGCCAAAAAATCCTGGTTCGGTAACTTCATCAACTTGGAGAAAGAAGAACAGATTTTTGTGGTCATTAAGGACAAACCACTAAGCTCCATTAAGGCTGATATAGTCCACGCTTTCCTCTCGGTAAGTCATCCCAGCTGCCTCTTGGAGGCACTGCCCTCTGGTCAGTTCCAGGACTCCTTGTGCCGTATGTTCCTGGACAGGGTCTCTGCTCCTTCAAGTGCAGGCTCTGTGGGTTTAATGTACATAACCTGTCGATTCAGGCCTCCACTGGACTGCGTGTGAATTACTAAGTGTAGATAATGCTCTCTAAGGTGAGAAGAGATTTCAGCCTTCTTGGCAAGGTCTCCAGGTTGCCAGTGTTTGGAATAACACTGCAGTTAGAGCACACTGGTCTGGACACAGTATCAAGACAGCAATTTGCTCCTTTGTCAAACTAACCTTGCAGTTACTGGTCTGGGCAGCAAATTGGGTCTTCCCTTGTTGGGTAAGCCCTCCACCACTTCAGTCAGACAAAAATCCTGTCTTACATCTGCATTTGTTACTTTAAATCTCCACTTCATGCTGTATGGCAGAAAGAAGGGTTGTTTCCTCTGGTGACCGGAGTATCAAATGTTGCAAATGCAGTTTATATACAAGCTAAGAAAGCAGAGCGAAATTGTAATTTTTTCCTATAGAAGATCCTTGCTATCATTTTCAAGAAGTACCAGTGAAGAAAAAGCACAGCAAAGTTAAATTAAGAGATTTTTCAGTTCAAGGTAGTCAACAACATAATTAGACTTTGTTAATAACTTTAAGAGAAGGAGATTTAATTTCTTATATAGTTTGTTGATTTTTTGTCCATAAAATACTGAACTCCATTTTAATCTCTATGAATCATAGAATCAACTGAATTGGAAAAGACTTCTGAGATCATCAAGTCCAACCCTTTTTTTTTTTTTTTGAAATCCAATCTCTGGAAAAATCCAGTCCAGGTTTTCCCCCATTCCGTACTCCAGCCAAAATCCAGTCTGCATTTTCCCTCATTCTGTACTCTGGCCAAAATCCAGTCTGGGTTTTCCCCCATTCCGTATCCAACAAAATCCAGTCCGGGTTTTCCCCCATGCTGTACTCTAGAAAAAATCCACTCTGCATTTTCCCCCATTCCGTACTCTGGCAGAAATCCAGTCTGGGTTTTCTGCCACCCTCCCAAAGCGGCCCTGGGACACCCCCCACACACACACACAGAGGCACCGCAAGGTGTGAACCCCCCCAAGGTGACACCAGAACAGTGTTTTCTTTATTGTAACAAACACAGAGGATCATGATGCAATGAATTTCTTCCAAAAAACCAGCCATAACCCTTGTGACTATACAAGCGTACAAGGAGTAAATGCAGTATAGCAGCGTGCATCAGACACTGGTGTCCATCTCAGATTGATGTGAAGCAGCCACGTTACCGTATCAGTTTCATGCATTTAGCTGTGCTTCTGGGTTTATATTGTGGGCATAGCATGCACTGCTGTCTGTAGTGGTGATTCTGTGTATATCCCACATGTCTGGGTTTAGGTGTGATGTAGTGATTTGTGTGCAAAACCAGTGAATCGTCTCTTTCAGCAACCTTCAAACTTAAATGCACTGTCACAACCTGCTAATTAAGTCCTTAAAGTCAGCTTCTCAAAGAACTCATCTTTGCTTTTCTTTCTAAATTAGAGACCAGATTTCCAAATTTGATTGTTTTTTTAATCTGGTCCTTTATGAAGCAGTAAATAGAATATGAGTATGTTACATTTTGGCAGAAAGCACGAATGGTAACTGCTTGAAAGTTAGGCAGTTATGAAATTCCACCATGAGTCTGAAGATACAGATATTGCATGATACAGTGAAGTTTCTCAGAGTTCTTTTACATATTGGTAGGAGTTATGGTTTGGGCGAGTTATTTGCAGGTATGCTTTCCCTGTGGATATCTCAGGTGCTTGTCTAAGTGTCTGCTCTGTGTCCTGATGTCTGTTTGACATCAATCACCAAGCAGTTACAGGTTGGAAAGGTCTTCAGGAGGTCTCCTGCTCAAAACAGGATCAGCTGTGAGATCAGACCAGGCCACTTGAGTGCTTTTTATATCCCACCAATTTACTACCCACTCTTTTAATAGTAGTTTTTACTCGGGAAAAAGGCATTTCTCAAAACTGGTAGATGAATAGGAAAAGGAAGACTGAGTGTATGAAGTTGAGCAACATGTGTACATTTATAAGCATGATGGGTATTCCGCCAATATTCAACCTTTAAATTTGGATCAGTCCTGTAAGCAGCAGTGCATTCTTCTGTGGTACCAAGCAATCTACAGTCTTACTGATTTCACAAGAACACTGTACTTTATGAATTCAAGACCAGAAGCAGATCTAGCAAATGTTATCCACTCTGGAAATGTGTGTTGTTATAAATAGAATTTTGCAAATTTTTCACTTTATGCACTAGTTCTACTACCTTCTTCTACCAACCTGTTTCAGATTCCAAGTCTCAGTCACAGTGTCATCTCACAGACAAGTTTCCGTGCAGAATATAAGTCCACGGGAGGTCCTGCTGTCTTCCAGAAGCCAGTGAAGTTCCAGGTGGACATAACGTACACAGAAGGGGGAGAGGCGCAAAAGGAGAACGGGATCTATTCTGTCACTTTCACACTCTTATCAGGTAACCATGGCAAAGCTCTAAAATGGGTGCAAGCTGGCTTTGTCCTTGCTGATAATAGAGGCCTGCAAATTGCTCTGTCAGAGGAAAGAATATAACTGTCTTAGCCTCAGGGGGAAAATTCAGACAAGGGAAAGGAGGACATTTGGAACAAAAATAGTGTTGGTAGCGATGGAAGTGGCAGGCAGGGAAAGAGATTCCCAAAAGGTGAAGTTACCACTTCCACGATTAGTGCTAAAATGGCTGCTCTGTACATCAGATCTGGAATATCTTATGGTACTGTCTCCGTGTTTCACTCAAAAGTCTCAGAGTCTCAGCAGGGCATTGTGAGGCCACTAGTTTCTTCCTTCTGACAGAAACATTCACTCACCTTTTTCTTCTGGGTGGCCACATGTCCCCCCCCCAGGGTTTAAAACAAACAACCCCCCCCACCTTTTATGCCTTCACAAAAGGAGCCCAAAAGCCATTCTTCCTCCTGTTGAGTTCAGCACACCACAGTCCCTTTGGCTGAAGGACAGAGACACTGTCAGTACACTCCTGGGTACAAGACTAAGGGAAGATACTTGTGATGCTTCCCCTCCAGCCTGGGTTGTATATGGACTCCCATTCCTCTCACAGCCATTTGTGCCTCTTCTCTCCTCACAGGTCCAAGCCGTCGCTTTAAGAGGGTAGTAGAAACCATTCAGGCACAGTTGTTAAGCACACATGACCAGCCTTCAGTGCAGCAGTTATCAGGTAAGTAGTTTCTACTGTCGAGCACCTTGCTTCAGCAGGGACAGGAAGGTGAAATGCCTCTCGGTACCAGGAGGCTGAGGGAGGCCATCCCTCTGATCACAGCAATAAACGAGCTCCATTCGCACAGAGCAGTAACTCCCTGCACCCACCCTACTCCTCCCTTTCTCATTCCCACTCCAGTGCTCCCAGTGCATTCCCCAGTTGAACAGCTTCTGCCCTCCGCCCGCCCAAAGAGCCATTTGCCCACTTCTCCATCAAAAGCTGCATCATCAGTAGACCTTCCAGATTTTCTCCAGCTCCAAAATATCCCAGAATAGGGACATACTCTAGAAGATACCTGAGTTTAAAACCCTTCAGGCATGCTTTAGAAACCTCCAGCTTCAGAGGGTCTCAGAACAAAGTTGAGAGCTACTTTTAACTTGGCCATTAACAGATGGTCAGAAGGTGGTTAATAGTTTCCAGTAGTGTGATCAAATTCTTGGCTCAATACTGTGGTAGCACAAATTATACACTAAGGTTCTGCAAAAGCTATATTTTACCTATTTGAAAAGTAAATTTCAATTCCTCATGGTGGTAGAGAAATCCTTATGTGTGTTACCCTGTGCAGTGACATCAATCTGAATGTGCAGGCAGCCTGAATTGATAATACAGAAACTGGCTTCATCCCACCATCATGTAGCAAGTGTTCACTCTGAACACTAGTGCTTGCACACACAAAAAGTATCAGTGTTAATTCTTCTCTCCTTTGAAAGGACAGAACAAAGAAGAAGGTGAAAATTGAAAACTTAAAGCAGATGAGCTATTGGGAATGCTTCAAGGAAGGAAAAATAGGGAGAAGCAGAAAGAATGTGCAGATACAGGGAATAAATAGGAGCAAGGTAGAGAGCAGAAGCTGGAGGAAGGAGAGAAAGAGTCAGGAGGAGTGGGAGATGAAAAGGAAGTAAATAAATATTATACTTTAGAGCCAAATTCTGTGCTTGACCTTTGTGTGAACAAGCCAAGACAAAAGTGTGGGAGTTAGATTGGCATTGCATCCTGCAATTAAATCCCAGATGTCCTTGGCTCATTGCACATATGGGTTACATCCTTCTGGTCTAACAGTGTGGCTTTGGCGGCTGAAGATAAAATAACTCCATCTAGAAGTGTGTATGCTTAGTACCTGACAGAGAAGTATGCTCAGTTCAGTGTCCACTTTACTTTTGGCCTCCAGCACTGCCTGACCTTCTGCATGCTGGATTGCAGTGGTGCCCAGCACATGGGTTATTCTGTTCGGAAACAGGGAAGATGAGGACACTACAACTATGGTTGATTGAGGTTTTTGCTGTCTGGACTTCAGAAATTAAATCAAACTCAAGGAAGTAGCCAGAATTTTCTGCCAGCTCTTCCTCTTGGGAAATGCTGGGGTTAAGTGGGGGTGAGGGGAATTAGACAGAAAAGCATCCTGTAAGTGTACTTCATATTACTCCTGATATGTGAACAATATTCAAGCATTCCTTATTTCTTAGAGAAGGAAGTGTACTCTTACTTTCCTGTGAGGAAAAAATTGTTTAAAAAGTAAATAACTTGAAGATCTCTCTTAACTTCTTCACCCTAATATGTCCTAGCTACTGCAGCTCTCTAGAAAGACTTGAACCCTGTTGCACACTTGCATGTGAGGCAGGATATCTCCCTAAGAGTCATATTATAGCAGGAATAAAAACCATTCAACTGACTAAAGTTCAGGGAGATGTTATGGGCAAACTGTGCTGTGAGAAATGTATCTGACTTATAGTTTTGCTCTGGTTCTGGAATGGAAAAATCACATGATTTCTACTGCTGAAAACAACCTGAGAATATGTTGTTCTAGCAGGGAAAACCCAGCCTGATCTCTAAAGCCAGAGTGAAATAGGTAACTCCACATGGAGCAAAACCAAAATTAATGGTCTCTTGAAATTTAAAAATGAGAATTCCCTTGGGTGGGAAGTTAACCAGGCAAGACAGGATGCCAAACTGTTCTGTACCGCATCACCTGACCTGGTCAGGAGTATGCAAGTCTCTTGAAAATGAGAGAAGTCAACCTGAAAATCTTAGATTGGAGCAGAGTACAAGGAAAAGAGAAAAGGAATGGAGGGGAAATAAAAGGATTGTTACCAAAAAGAGACAACCCGTGCATCAAAGTAAAGAGGCCCTATGGTTCACATCCCCAGTCAGTGAGAGTAAGGGGAAGAAAAAAGGGATAAAGGACAGCAGAGTTTGCATTCAGCACCTTGCTTAACTGGCTGTCTGTAGTTGGAAAGATGTGTGCAAGAGCTTCCTAGAAATTATCATGGAATTAATCAACTTTTCTCACTAGAAACAAAACAAAGTCTTCTCTGTTTCTCTTACCCTCCCACATGCCCAGCTCTGAACAGCTCACAGAAATTGTGGTGGTTGGGCTCCTGTTGAGGTTCATGGTTTGAGGATACTCTGTAGGCAGTCCAGCGCTGCAACAGAATGAACTCACAGTTCACTTGGACTTGCCTCCTCCGTGGCTCTGAGTGTATTGCTGTCTCTAACCAGCAATACTGTCCAGCACTGGATATTTTCCCAGCTCATCGTACACAGACATCTCCTCTGTAGTTGTTTCTCCTGACTTTTAGTTCAGATGCCATCACAGGTGGGATGATGAAAACCAGGTGTGAAAGGTGCATGCATCTAAAGTGAGACCTGCAAAAGGGGAAGATTCAATGAACTCAGTATAAAGCAGAACAGCAAGGCCTAATAAGCATATGTCACTGACAGTCATTCTCTCTCCTGCCCCTCTTTGATCTGCTATGCAGTATGCCAGCCCACTGAGCCGGCTTGCCTGGGTTTCAGAATGCACTTTCCTCTTTTTCATTTCCTCCAGCTCACAACAGTGTTTGTAGATGTCATGTTGCCCATGCATCTCTGTGTGTGTGTGTGTGTGTGTGTGTGTGAGCCTGTTATGTACCTGATCTAGGCAGATGTGTTTCTGTGTCATACTTGAGCACCTGATAATCTCCCTTCCTCCATATATCCCTTCATTCACTTCCATTTTTCCTTTCTAAGACTGGCTGTGCATATTTCTTCTGGCATACTCTGAAGCAGGAAAACAGATTCCCTCCCTTACCTGAATAAATGTGTAAATAAATGAAATCCATTCCAAAAGTTAATGTAGTACTTCTAAAAACCACTGCTTAGTTGGTCAAATTTAGTGCAACATATCAGTTTTTTAATCTAAGGTTTCAGGACCTCTGTGCTATGATTGCTGAGACAGTACCAGGTCTACAACTCATGACTGGCATGAGTTACAAGTAAATAGGGATCAATCGTTCATTTTCTCTTCCAATGAAAGAACTAGAGACCATCATATGAAAGTAGTGGAAGTCAAGTACCAAAAAAAATATTGGAAAACGTCTCTTCACATAATCTAAGACCTGTGGAACTCTTCGCTGAAGCAGGTTTCTGCATGTGAGGAGCTTGCAGATGCTCATCTTCCCCTGAGTACTTCTTACTCCCAGGGAGGCTAGACAACTCCCTGGCAGAAAAATCTTTATGGAATTGCTTAACAGACAAACAGCAGCAGGCTCAGGAAATCTCTGACCTGATAGTGGTGAGCAAGGCAGTGTTAGGAAGTATCTGCTTGGCCTGCTGTTACACTCTTGCGTGTCTTTGTGGCTGCTGATGTAGAGGGAGCATTGGATGGTTTTGGCCCTTGGTCTAAACCAGAACAGCTGCCCTTGTATACTTGTTACTGGTATCAAAAGCCACTAAGCCCAGCAAGGCCATGAAAGGACAGTCCCTTTTGCATCAAGAGTGAATCTCACTGTCTGTGAGAGCAGCCAACCTCATCTCTCATCCATGTATAGCTCCATCCAGGAGTCTTATACTCAGGTATAACTACTTAGGTAATCCCTGGGCAAACTGCCCTTTGCTGGGATAAAAAGATCTCTCTCCATGGAGGAAGATATTTCAGATTTGTGCCTTTGTTTCAGCCCAACACTCTTTCCATTAAATCATAATCTGTTTTTCTCTGATGCCTTTGCACAAAAGAGTAATAGTAACAGCTGGTGAATAGGGACATGCAAAAGCCATCTGTGGTCATTCAGTGTATCAATTTTTATTTCCCTAATACTTCCTTGTTTCTTTGAGCTTTGATTTTAAGTGTGGGGTGCTGCATATTCTTATTTTTTCCCATTTTCCCATGTTCTGGGCAATCAGCTATGCTGAAATAACCTTTATAACTTCTTTGGGAAAGGTTTTCTCTTTCCTTATTGTATTATTGGCTTCATATTGGATTTTAACCATTGACATCTCAAAGCTCAGAGCATCTCAGTATTACTGCTGGAAGTGCCTTTCATCAGCATAAACAAGTGTTTAGAGACCATATCTAGCTTCAAAATAGAGCAGTGCAAATTCTCGATAGAACGCTGATTTGTGATTTCTGGGTATTTTATGGCTCACAAGAGCTGTAGGCTAAATTGCTACAAAAAAATTAGTGAGAAACTCAGTTTCCAAATGTGCAAAGGATTTTATCATCAAGACTTAAAAGGGAATAAGGAGCAAATGAAGTGCTTTGCAAGGTGAATTTCCAGCTACAGACTCAAAACAAGGACTCTGCAAGTGCCATTTTGAAACTGGATCACAGGTCAATTTTTCTGGGGTTCATCCAGGTCCCAAGTTTCTCTTGTTTCCTGCAATCTGGTGTGACTCTTTATGTCTTACCACTCCTGTAGTGTCTGGAGTAATTACTTCATCTTGCTATCATGGTTCCCACCTACAAAAGGTGCCCTCTAATGCCTAGTTGGATTGGCAGAACCCTGTTTTTTTGCTGAACAGCCTTAGTATTATTACTGAACAGCCTTCATTAAACTTATCTGAAATACTTACTGGTAGTTCTGAAATCAAGCATGTAGAAAAAAGTCTAGACTCTCCAGGGTTTTGATAAGAGAACAGAGAATTTCAAATAAGCACACTAACACTGGGGAATTTCAATCTGAATGATAACTGCCTTGGACCAGAGGAACTGGTGGCTCCCTTGACATCATCTCCCTCCCTGTTTATTGGGGACTGTGAGCATCTGGCAGGAGCTGCTCAGTGCTTTCTGGGATCTAGCCCTGGATTTGGAGATCTCAGAGGAGCAGCTGTTTGGGTGAGATTTCCTGGGCTGGGACAAGTCTCAGAATCAGAGATATCAGAAGCATCACAAACTAGACGACTTCATTGTGAAATTTATGTGGGATAGAAATGCAGAAATTAAAGAATAAAGAAAATTGTGAAAGAAAATTCAACAGAACACTGGCTATTTTAAATGGATTCAGAACTTGTTTGGCCTTTTGAAGGAAGGCCTTATTTTAACCAAAATATTTGCCATCTGTTAATGAGTTGAACTGGATGTCATATATAAAAGTCTTGGTCAAATTCAAAATGTGAAGAACTGCCAGCAATTTCTATGAAATAAGGAATTCCCTTATCATCAGAAGGATTGAGATCTGACACTGCTGCTATGCTTTAATTAAAAAATTAAAGAGGACACATGAAGAATGCAGTTACATGACCCATCAACGTTTCTCAGACAGTTAAAAGCCTTTGGACCCTGGCTTTATTCCTTTCACATGACACCTGGATCCCACAGTCACTGGGTTGTGGATTAGTATCTATGAGCAGAAGCTGACTGCCAAGAATCTAAGACTTTCTAATTAGAATGAAATTTCTACTTGAAAATGATGGAATACTTTATCATGTATTTACTAAAGCAGATGTTACAATATGATGGAAATGAAAGAAGTATTAAAGTAATTATTATAAAAGAGAAGCTGAAGGCACATTAACACTGTTAGTCTTTTAAGTAATGCAATATGAGCTACTGGTCCTGGTGTGCCCATGCTGACTGTGCCTTAGGAATTGGGGAAAAACAGTCTGATCAGGTCTTGGAAAGACATTACAAATAAAAATTAATTCCTATGCAGTTCCTGGGACTAGCCATGGCAATACAGAGAATGCGAATTATGCATTCTGTATGAATATGTGCATTAAAGTTTTAAGAAAGACAAGTTAGGGGTTTCATTAGTGTTCCTTTGATTTTTCCATGATCTCATATTTTAAAAAAAATTCCCTATCCATCAAAAGTAATACCATACCGTGCAAATTTACATTTTTAGGAATAAAATGGAGTACAGAGCCCAAGATGTTATGCTGCCAAAAAGCCTCTGTTACAGTCCTTTTCTCCTGTGTAGGTCTGTCAGTTTGTATTCTTATCACACAATGAATGTTTGTAGATCTGTTACACAATTAGCTTTAAATACTAAAGAGACCTATGCTGACTGCAAATGACTTAGAAAAAAAGACAGTATTAACTTAAGGAGGCATGATTATTTTTTAATTTGTTAAAATTAAGAATGAAACAGAAATACCAGTTTCAGGAGACTCTTAGTAACTAGCTGCAATGTTCACCTGCTCTGATATTATCCAAATGTGACCTTTTTTGTTTCCAGACTGCTAGTTACTGAGTGGCCAGTTAGTTTGGATACACTTGAGGGGAAAATTCCAGGTGTTGGATGGTGGAGTCAGAAACAGTCTTTTGGCCATATTTGAGACTTTCTTTGCTCTTACGTGTTCTTTCAAAGCTAAGTTCTGCTAATGATTGGGTGAATGCTCCGAGCTCTACCACTGCATTACAGCCAAGTGTAGTTGACTGTGAGGGGGCTGGACAGGAACCACTGAAAGGCATGAGACAACAGACTTCTCCAAGTTATTAAAGAAAAAAAATGATCCAAACCTGTGAATGTGACTTCTGGTCACTGACCCAATCAGCCACTGTAGGCACTTCTCAGATCTGCTAGACATCTTCAGGGAGAAATGTATTTTGGGAGATTAGTCTGTCTTCACTCTGCCAGACTAGCCAAAGAATTTCAAAGGCAGGTAAACTCCTGGCCTCTCTGACACCTCTGATACTTTGTTCCAGTTCTTGAATGCTCTCTTCTCCTTCACCTCCACCCTTTTCTCCCTTTCTCTCAATCTTGTGCCTTTCTGAGAGAACTTCCATGGGTATCATCTCCCACTGACCTCTGCCAGCCCACCTTCAGCCTTGGGGATGGAGAGCGTATAACTGCTGCTTAGATGCTTTGACCAGTGTGACTGGACCAAGCACTTGCCCTCTCTGCTCCATGATTTTGTAAATGATCCACACAGCACAGGCCTGGCTGCATCAGAAAAGATGCTCTTCTAGCATGGGTTCAGCTTACCCAAGCATATCCAGCACCCCTTCCCGCTCTTATGAATTAAGGGGAGGAATGCTGAGAAATTATCTTTCCCTCTGTCCTGCAGACTTTATAGCAAACAGGGGGTAGTTAAAGCCTCCTGGCAGTTATGGATTTTCAGCATATGTGTGCATGTTTCTGAGAAGGATATTTCTTAAATACCCAAGTGTTCATCAGGATCCCAGGCAAGAGGAGATCTGAGACTGAGCTTAGTGCTTTAACTGGTAGCCTCTTGCTCAGCAGTGAATTGCCCATGAACGCAATGATTTAGATCCCAAGTGCAAGGGAATCCTGGCTGACAGCAGCAGATCTGGCTTGCCAGCAGCTTCCACATGGAAGTGTCCAGCTGGGCTGGTCCTTTCTGTTTTAAAGCTGACATGTAGAGCTCCTTTTGCTTATCACACCCCAGTAGGAAGCACCCAGAGGCTGTGGTAATGGGAGCTATACACGAAGTGGACAGTAGTGTCTTCGGACCAGATTCTGCCACCCTTTCCAGAAGTACTTCTACTGCCTTTAAATAGTGACCTAGAAAGCAAGAGGAGTAAGAGACTACACTTGAATAAGAGAGACAGAGTTAGGTTGGAACTTCAACATTATCCTTTGGGGGTCTAAAAGATGTTTTTGAGCTGTACAAGTAACCTCATTCCATGTGCAATAGCACAGTGCCGTATTTCTTCCCTCTCTCCAGGTTTTTTATGTAGATATATCAGCCGATAGAACATTTTGTGACTGTTGCAGGCTAACTTTCGAAGCTAGCCAGGTGAAACACTGTATTCAAGGCTTTTAGTTTGCTAATATGGTGGCAGAATATTTCCCACATGTCATAGATACCTGTAGCTATGATAAAGGGGTGAGTGGAGGCAACGGGATTGAAGCAGCATCCACTCTCAGTCACAGGGCCAGATTTACACTGGCATATAGTGGGTGGCAGAATTTGGCCTGGGTTGTGTAAAGACCAAGATGTGTATATGTTTCCTGCTTCAGGTAATAATGTGCTAAGTTACTACTTTATGCACAGAGGTGTGGAAACCTTTTTTTATGTTTTTCCTCCCCCCCTCCTCTTTCCGTTCTATGATCCAGACACCACTAACTGTATGGAGTTGATGACTGGCAGACTTTCCAAATGTGGTAAGAACTTCCTTCCCTTCTGAATTTCACCTTCCCCAGCCCCTGCTGAGCAACATAATAATGCGCCGTCCTGTCCCTTCCACCTCTTCCCCTTCCCTATCCCTGCTCTCCCTCGCTCTTTTCAAGACTGCCCACACTGTAACAGCCCACTATGTCTTTCACTCACCTGGAGGACTCAAGCATATACCCCTTTTTCTGTTCCTCCCCATCCATGCACAGATGCACAGGCTCCACCACAGCTTTCCCCTTCATAGCACAAACATGAGATTCCCTCCCTCACTGTAACCCAGGCCAGTGATTTTCTTTTCTTTCCTGATTTTTTTACTCTTTTCTTTACTTGCTGCCGTTGATTCATGATTCTTGAGTCCCTTTTCTGCTCTGAAGCTGAATGCTGCCCTGCTAGCTGCTGTCTCCCTTGGTTTCCTGCTATTTATTGAGACAGGAATGTGACATTATTTAATACTATTTTGCATCCAACCCCTTCTTCCCCAGATATCCTTGGGGTATGACCCTTTTAAATCCTCCACAAGACACACTGCATATTATCTGACAGACTCAGCTAGTGTAAATTGTCATAATTCCACTCTGATCTCAGGGAAGAATGTTATGTCTCTCACTGGAAGAATAATGAACCTACTGAAGATCTGGAATTTTGCTAGGTTTAAGAAAAAAGTTTCCTGCAAAACTTGCAGCTCAACTTACTTGGGGTCATGCGAATTTTGGTTAACTTGCCCCTAGGCTTCCTTCCCCTGTGAATACACATGTAGTGGGTTCTTTCTTTCATTACCTGTGCCCCTACTCACTCCTCCAAGTACAATAGTGGGAATACCCACATGCTATGAGAGAAGTTTTTGTCTTATATCTTGTGTAGATTCTGTATGAGAGAACTCTGTTCTCTTTAGATTTCCATTCTGGTACTAAGGTTGAATTCAGATATCTCTGTGAAAGGGAAGACAAAATGATGAGGAAGTGATCAGCTACTACTGCTCTCCACCTGCAACTGCCACACCACCTCTTTGTAAACTGAAGAAAGTTGTTCTGGAGTTGTTGTGGAGTCTGTAACCATAAAGGGAAGTTGTCATGGTGGAGGTAGTATTAGGTTTATGCATGTGTAACTGAGGCAGAATTTGGCCTGTTTCCCGTATTTCAGATGGTCTCTTTCCCTTAAGTTGCAGCTTTGCTGGGAGCTTTTCCTTTGCTCTGAAAGGAGCTTGTTTGATTTCTTATTTGACTTTTCTGATCTCCTTGTGACTCATTTCAGTTGTAGGCAAACCTTCAGCTTCTTGAAGGCATCAGACAGCAAATACCTCTTCTTCCTCAACGCTTTGTTTCTTGCCTGGATCTGGCATTCACATCATACAAAAATACTAAAATTCCAGTTCTGCTGATTGCTTGCAAGTTAATTGAGCTACAGAGATAACCAGCCAGTACTCTGCATCCTTTAGGCAGAGAGCATCACTGCTCGCTCACAGTTCATGCAGGCCCTCCAGCTGTCATAATGTCAGCAGCAATCCAACAAGGGACAAAGAGGACAAGGTGAAGGCCATCAGGGAGACTGTTTTGTGGCAGCTACAGCATAGACAACACAGAGAAAGGGAGAGAAGAGAAAGAATGGCTTATAGGGGTTTAACGGAGCTGCTTCCTTTAAATCACACACCTCTTGGTGTAGTCACAAACAGCATAAGCAGTGGTGACTGCATCATGCTGAACTCCACCCTCTCATATGAGTGAAGAGCTGTTCCGTGTGCAGGAACCCATGATTTAGACAGGGGAGTGAAAGGGAATGATGCAAGCACTTAGCCTATTTTTGGCAAGTTGTCCTCTGTGATTCCGAGAATCAGAAACCCCCCTTGAAGTTGACGCAGTGTTCCTCCAGTAATAGCAAATAGTGCATGAAGAACTGTAAAACTATATTCTGTGGGGTTTTTGACCTCCACGTTGTTCTGCATTCTGAGTGTGAGCACAGAATGTCATTTTAGCAAAAAGAGTTAACACTGGAGCAGGAAGAGCCAATCAGATGCTCAGCCATCTGAAAGCTCTGGTGGGAATGAGGAATATCTTTTCACCCACTATAAACCACCGAATGTTATAATTAACAGCAAGACAAATTTGTCTAGTCCTTTAAATGTTATCTCATCTTCTGCTAGCAGTGATCATCAATCTGAGAAGTGATTTGCATACAGCCATTGGCATTGAAAAACAAGTTGATGTTTGAACAGCCAAGGTGTGTCATAGGAGCTGCCAATATCCAAACGATGTAACAGTTGCTGTACCAACCCTACCTGTGCAAGCTAGAAAACTGCTGCCAACAGTTCTTCTGTTTCACAATAGAAGAAATAACTTGGCTCATAATAAAGTTGAAATGCACGTTGGGGTGGAATATTTTATGTTTCCACCCATCTTAGCAGGGGAACGGGCATTGCTATTGTCAGAAAGACTAAACTCTTATCTGTGAAGTTCATTTGTAAGATTAAATTTACCTTCTAAAAATTAAAATCTTTACATAGAAAATGCAGCTGTAACCTAAATGCCTACAGGAGTGATACCTTAGCTGATCTATTCCTTGTGTGTATTCAGAGCCAAATCAGTTTAGTGACAAGTAAGGTTTATCACTGCGTGTGCTGCCATTAAGCCTTATAAAATCAGCACAGCTTTAAAAAAACTGGATTCCGTTTCTTTTGAAGCAGGATTTAGAGAACTGTTTACTACCATCTAATCTGGTATTAATGTCTATCTTACTGAAGAATAGCTTGTATAATTAAGGTTCTAATAGGTTCTGAAGAGCCTTTACATTAAAAATAAAAATCAAGATAATACATAAACTGGAAAGCCCTCCAGCTTCAACCTCAAAGCAAAATTAGAAAGCAAGTATCATTCATTGTAGATTGAACAAGTTGGATCTGGAGCCAGTGATATACACCACACAGAAGCCCACAGTGCCAATTTCAGTAGTCCTTGTTCAGAAAAAAGTCTGTCTTCACAAACTTTAATGACTTTAAGTTGTTTACCTAGTGAGCTTAGAATTTCTTTGAGTGGTTGAATTAATAGCAAAACTGGTATATAGTCTTTGGGCTCCCCTTCCTAACCATTTTTAGTTTTTTGGAGTCCTTAGTAAGTATGTTTTGCCAAGGTACTGGATGCTGACAGAAAGCTCTGAAAAAATTTCCTTATCCTCCACTTTACCTTCTGAGATACCCCAGGGAGCCTGTAAACTTTCCAGTCTCCACTGCAGCTATCCGAGGATGAATTTTATTTCCAAGTAAGGCAATCTTTGCTTGTTGTTTTCCATCTCTCATGACTCTCAGGAAAGTCTTGAGTTACATCAGTGGCACGTCCATGGAAAGTGGGTGATGATAGGAGGAGGAGAAGGTTAGTATGTATAACTGGTGCAGCTCCATGAGAACGCTGGCTTGCTACAGCTCCAGTCAAATCATGCTGTTATGTTGGGCACTGCAAAATGTTCCTGCAAAATCTTAGACCATAACCCTGTGCAGGCTGGGAAGAAGACCTTGCGTTTACTTTTAAATATTTATCTTGTATTGCTGCTTACAATTCCTTGCACCAGAGTTAAACAAAAAGCTTTTTGGATCGTTGTCTGTACCAGTGGCTATCACCAAAATGATCTGATCGAAGCAGAAGCACAGCAAGTCCACTTGCCTTTCGTATCTTGCCAGTGTATCTCAGTCAGATCTCTTGCTTCCAGTGTTTAGGACTTGACGTTCAGGACTTCCTATTCAGAGCCATCTGATCTTGTTGCCTGTGGCCAATCATCCTCAGTGCATACAGGGCAACTGCACTGCAGTAAAGGCTTCTCTTCGTAGCTCCTTGCAATTACAGTTTGATTCATACAGATGTGAGCCCATGTCGATGCCATCCCTAGCTACTTGAGAAGTTAGGAAATATTTTGCAGTTTTAAACTGGTTGCATCACATTTGGGTTGCAATTGCAACCTGTAGCTTTGTGAGTGCTGATTTAGAGACTGCTGGTGTAAGCAGCAGCAGCAAATATCTGGACTTGGTGCTCTTGGAAATGATCCTGACCCATATTGGGATTAATTAGAGTAATCCTGCTTCTCACAAAGTAGCTGTTTGATGGAAGATGAGGTTGGTTATTTGCATTCAAAAAGCTGTAACTGATGGCAGAAATACCGGTGCTGAAATCTACAGAAAAAAACATACGCTGCCCCCCCTGCTGAAAGGCTCTTCTCACCACTGTGAAGAGACAAAAAGAAGACCCACCTGAAAGATCACATATTCATTCATAATGGGTGGATTGCAATAAGTCAGATGTTCTAAAGAGTTCAAGTCAGGTTTCTCAGTTACCCCTGCTCATTCTGCTGGTATCCTTTGCTGTCCAGATGAATGACTGCCTCCCCACATACTGTAGTTGTAATGTCTTCAGTCTAGTGGTGTGTTTGGGAGACATTTCTTTTCCAATTCATGCCTCATGTTTTTGCACTGTAGAAGAAGGTAGCCACAAAAAAGGCAACTTGGCACTAGAAATGAATCCAGACTTAGTGAACTATTTGTTTCATGTCAGATCCTGTTTCAACAGCTATGGTGAGATTTTTACTGTCCAATACAAGATCTTTTCCTCTTTCTCTATAGTAATATCTAATACAGGAAACACAGATATCTCACTCTTAATTGAGATCACAGTACTTTATTTATAATAGCCAGTGTTTCAGGATACTGCATGGAAATACGTGGTGTACTAAGCTGCTGTACTAAGCTAAGTTTAAGATGGCCTTCTGAGAAGATTAAATCATATTTTGAAGTGATTGATTTGGTCGAAATGAGGAAGCAACATTTCACGAGCATACACAGGTCATCTCTCCCATAGGAACAGTCAGAGAACTTAAAACCTATAAAATAATACATGAACATCTATCTGGCAGAAAAGACCAAAATCATATTATGAAGTGCCAATACATTTTTGGCATTTTTATAGACAAAAAGGATTGGAATGAAGCAGCAGAAGTCTCTTAGAGAATGGGTAGC